TCCCTGCTTCCCTTCCCAACACCCCCTCGTCTAACACCTCCTGCCTCTCCATCTTCCCTGCTCCCCGTCCCAACACCCCCTCGACTAACACCCCCTGCCTCCATCTTCCCTGCTCCCTTTCCCAACACCCCCTCGTCTAACACCCCCTGCCTCCATCTTCTGTGCTCCCCTTCCCAACACCCCCTCGTCTAACACCCCCTGCCTCCATCTTCCCTGCTCCCCGTCCCAACACCCCCTCGTCTAACACCCCCTGCCTCCATCTTCTGTGCTCCCCTTCCCAACACCCCTTTGTCTAACACCCCTTGCCTCTCCGTCTTCCCTGCTCCCCATCCCAACACCCCCTCCCCGTCCCCACACCCCCTCGTCTAACACCCCCTGCCTCTTCATCTTCCCTACTCCCCTTCCCAACACCCCTTGTCTCCCACCCCCAGCTTCTCCATCTTGCCCCTACTCACCCTCAAGAGAGCAGTCCTTCCTTTCCCAAGATGTTTATTCAACACTTTTCAGTTAAAAAAAACCTTGTAGGAAGTTAATTGTGAGCTTGTTATTATAACAGCCAGTATATCTTATGTCAAGGAGGGCTTCCTGTCTGTGGGTCTGGTGAGAAGTGAGTAGATCATGGTTATGTAACAACAACAGTTAAGCATATATTAAACACGGTCTGGCATTGGAACGGCTTCTGTCTTGTCACTGGCCACAGACATTATGAAGTTCATTATACCTGACAAGTTTTTGGCCTGTGCTCCCCTCTGGAACAGCTATCGTAGGATAAAGGTGAATGCTTTTTACTAAGAATTTTGGCATATCGAAAGCAAGGTTGAAATATTTCCTTTTATTCTTTGATAAAATGTGGTTCAGCAAGTGTCGGTCTAATAATTTCATTGATCTCCCTTATGTCAACAATAAACTATTGGGAGAAGGTTGTAATGTGTTATTTTCAAGATAAAAAGATGGGAAAAAAACCTGTTTTCATCCACTTAGTGTATTAGTGTAGGATTGTTGGTTTGGTGTCTGATGATATTCAGAGGTTGTTGTGCATGTTAACCTCTGTGTAAGGACGTTGGAATATGATTTGCTAAGGCTCCATGGGAGAAAAAGACAACATCTATTATGATCAGTCATCTTAAAAATATATGTCATTACAAAATTTATGTTTTCATCAGTAGTGATTTCTCATTTTCTAACTTTGAAATATAATATTACCGTTTTCGACATAATAAGCGCCCAGGGCGCTCTCAAAATTAGAATGAGGGAGCTCTTATTAGAATATTATTTTGATGAAAAACAACAGAGTTGAAAGATCGTAAATTTCGTGGTTTATGCTGACAGCCTGAAATGTTTATATACGACAGATATATTTTTCCAAAATTTAATTGCCCATAATTAAGGGTGCAGATAACAAACGTATTATGCACGAATAAATAAGTCTTGTGTACATTGATCAATCGGAAGGGGTGCCAATTAGCATTGTTCACTAGCCAGTATATTAGCAAATATTGCCGTGGGTGCTTATTAGAGTGGGGTGCTTATTACGTCGAATACGGTATGGCTTTGTATTGCTTTATATTATGTAGCCACGGTGATTCGGGGTAACCATAAGGTTACAGTGTTCACTCGTCACACCCATTGCCTGTGTTTGATTCCTCATATGGGTAAAGTGAGTGAAACCCAAATTTTGATAAAACAATACTTGCTCACTGTATATATGTGTAGCCAATGTTATTTCTCTGTAAACTTGGGCAGTCATTATATTAGGTGGAGCCTCGTGGTCAAAGGGTTAGATTGTCTTGCCCAAGACCCATGTTTATACCTGCATGGGTAAATTGTGTGAAGCCATTCTGGTGTCCCATCACCTTGATGTTGCTGGAATATTGCTAAAAGCATCGTGAAACTATTCTCCCTCACTCGGTAAAAGGTCAGTGTAGTAATTGGTGTTTTCATTCTAACTGGGCAATTTGGATAAGAAAAAGTATGTCTTTGAAATTCTGTCATAAGTTGTTTTTAATGTTCTTTGTGGTTAAGATGAAAGCATTATCATCTTCATATTTTTGCTGAGGACTTTGACATTTGAGTACTTTCTAATCTAAACATAATTGCAAATGCCAAATCTTTGCTTACGGTTGAAACAAGTGTGGCAGTTATTATGGTGAGGAAAGTTTTTTTCATTTTCATACTTTACTTGGCAGTGTTGGGGTTGTGACCCAGGAGCCAAATAGAGTAGAAGTTATGGCATTAATATTTGAAAAAAAAGAAATTTTGTACAGACTAAGATGAGTGGGTGGTTGGACAGTTGTTGTAGGATGCTGATAACTGCATGGAAGCACAGTGAAAAATCAAGCAGTCTGGTGTCCAGTTCTGGTACAACATTCTTGGCACAACATTCTTGGCACTTAGGGTTCGGCCTCAAACGAAGATTTCATCACCTAGGTTTGAGTCAAGGCCCCCCTACATCCCCACCCTCAGTCCAGACCACCCACATCCCCACCCTCTGTCCAGACCATCTACATCCCCACCCTCTGTCCAGACCATCTAGGCCCCCACCCTCTGTCCAGATCCACCTACGTCCCTACCCTCAGTCCAGACCCATCTAGGTCCCCACCCTCTGTCCAGATCCACCTACGTCCCTACCCTCAGTCCAGACCCATCTACGTCCCCACCCTCTGTCCAGATCCACCTATGTCCCTACCCTCAGTCCAGACCATCTAGGCCCCCACCCTCTGTCCAGATCCACCTACGTCCCTACCCTCAGTCCAGACCACCTATGTCCCCACCCTCAGTCCAGACCCATCTAGGTCCCCACCCTCAGTCAAGACCATCTAGGTCCCCACCCTCAGTCCAGACCACCTATGTCCCCACCCTCAGTCCAGACCCATCGAGGCCCCCACCCTCTGTCCAGATCCACCTACGTCCCCACCCTCGGTCCAGATCCATCTAGGTACCTACCCTCAGTCCAGATCCATCTATGTCCCCACCCTCAGTCCAGATCCATCGAGGTACCCACCCTCGGTCCAGACCATCGAGGCCCCCACCCTCTGTCCAGATCCATCTACGTCCCCACCCTCTGTCCAGGTCAACCATGGCATGACAGATTGATTCTTGTAACATGAAAGAATTGGGTGATCCTTAACTATTTGTGAGTAGTATACTTGTCCTGGGGTGTGGAGGAGGCCGGTTCCTGTGGCCCGCTCCTAAACACCAGCTGTTTACTGAAGGACCTGTCTGTTGATAGTGATGTTACATGGCTGCTTCCCTAGTACTGAGTCAGTGGTTGTCTTGCCTCAAAATATTGACATTAGATAATCATAGTGTCAAGCAATACATTGTAAATAAGCAAATAGTTGAGTAAAGGCAGATATTTGACGCTTGACTTTAAATCTGGGAACCATATTTCCTAGCAGGCTTGCTCTTGATTCTCACTTATGTTTGGATGACCAAAAAGCTGATGATATTTATCATGGTGTACTGTTTAGTTTGAAAACAATATTTGTCCTAAGTTGTACTCGTGTTCTAATGGAAGGAAAATAGTACAAAGGGCAAAAAGATATGCAGCCATCCTTGAAAATTGTTGAACTTAGGAAAAAGAAAGAAGGATTTTGAAGGTCCATATACCGTATTCTACGTAATAAGCGCCCCGCCCTAATAAGCGCCCACGGCAATATTGGCTAATATATTGGCTTGAGAACAATCCCAATTAGCACCCCTTCCGATTGATCAATTTACGCAAGACTTATTTATTCCTGTATAATACATGTGTTAAATGCATTCTTAATTATTAGAAATTAAATTCTGGAAAAATATGTCTGTCGTATATAAACATTTCAGGCTGTCAGCATAAACCACGAAATTTACGCTCATTCAACTCTGTTGTTTTTCACCAAAATAATATTCTAATAAGAGCCCCCTCATTCTAATTTTGAGAGCGCCCTTGGCGCTTATTATGTCGAAAACGGTATTCAAATAGTGCAGCAGAAAATCTTTATTATCCCCGCTTCATCCCTAACACTTCTTGACTTTGTATGTCCCTGTCTGCCCTGAGTGATAGGAACTATGGGCTGGTGTCTTCTCTTCTCGTGGGTAGGACCCCATTTTCCAAAGCAATCTTAGAGCTACACCAAGCATACATTTGTGTTAGTGTATAGAAGATGGTCATAATGCAAAATACAGATCAATATATTCTTGCAGGTTTCATTGTTCAACCTTGATTTCATTCATTGTATGCCAGATTACCTGTTCATTCATATGTACCTGGTTATTCATGAATGTACCAGCTACTATCTGGTACAAACATACATGTTAGCTGTGATTGCACTTCGCACATTTTGTCATTGTTGTCCTCGTGAGCCAGATAATGTAAACACTGTGAGTATCTGTCATCCTTCATTTGCTGACATTTGCTGAAGGAGCTAGCTCTTGGATGTACACTGAGCTTCAGCTACAAGCTAACCCTTCTTGAAGTAAAATAGTGTATACTAACACTTCAGAAATATGCTGGTATTAACGATATTAACACTATGTTCCTTACAAGCTGGACATGGGTGGTCCAGTCGTCTCAGGTGTCACAATTTGATGTGCAGAGTTGCATCCCTTTGGCATGACAGGAACCTGTAATTGTGGGTTCAAATCCTCCCTGATCATGTTTCTAGGTTTGTCAGTATGATACTCATGCTCGTGGATTTCACCAAATGGTAAACTTCTGAGACCTGCATGACTTTGGGATTTCCTTCCACGTTAAGCTTACACGCTCTGATATAACTAGAATACTGTTCAAAGCAACGTTGACCAGTAAACTCACTATTATCGTATACAATTCTACATGTTTACAGTACATTGTACATTGTATATGGGTGGTGGGGTAGCCTAGTGGTTAAAACATTCCCATCTTCATGCCCAGTTACTGGTGGCCTTCCATTGATAATGCTGGAATATTTAAAAAAAGGTGCAAGTTGTTTGTGTGTATTATATAGTGTTGGACTTGACAGGGATTTGTATTGTTGTTGCAGGTAACTCCAAAGGGGCCCGATGCAACTGGTGTCCCGATGGATCGCGTCAAGAAACTTTTGAGCCCAGCATCCAGGAGAAAGCTGGTACCAAGCAACAATGTCAACAAGACATTTGGTGCCCCGCTCGACGTTCTCGTCAAGAGGTCTCCTAACTGTCTTATTCCTTCCATTGTGAAGAAGACATGCGACTTTATCTCCAGATATGGTAAGCTATGTGTTATCTGAAGACCTGGATAATGCCCAGGTCAGAACAAGATGTCGGGTTCTTAAATTTTAGAATCTTCATTGTCCTGATTTTAAGATATGCAACATATCTCCAGATATGATAGGCTAGGCCTTATCTGCAGACACGTATAATATCCAGGGGCATGTCACCATAGTGACCATGACTGTCGTCCAATACTTCACACAGCCTTATGATGGTTGTACTGCTAATATTTCTTTGTGGAACAAGGCCCTGGCCCAAAAAAGAATGTTTGATGTTCAAGTTGGTCACAGCATAATTCATGACTCGAATATTTAAGATGGGGTAATACTGTTAGAGTTTGTGCAAGTAGCACAACTTTCAAGAGACTGACGATCCAAGGAAGCCCTGGTCACTTTTGCCAGTGGGGACATTGGATTAGAATAGGTCCCCAGCCACCTATGCTGGTCGTGAGACCAAATAGATTGAGAGGTCAGGCTCACTGACTTGGTTGATAGTGTGTCATAGTACTTGGAGGGTCATGGATTGATGCTCACAATATCAATCACTGGATTGTGTTGCCCAGACATGACTTACTTCCAGTCCTGGCTGTCATACAGCTGGAATATTGTTGAACAACAAAACAATCTGTTTGCTATCCTGCAAGCTAACAAGCTCAACTGCGTTAAATTTGCCACTGAGTAGCTCATTTTGCAACAACAGGAAAATCTTTATTTCAAAACCAACTATTTTCTGCCCATTGATTAGCAAATTTAAAACATGAATAAAATCCGAAAAAGTGTTCTTCATTGACTCTTTTCGTTTTCTGTTTAGGTATGGACCAGGAGGGTATTTTCCGTGTCAATGGAAACTCTCGTGTCCTGGAGAAGCTCCGGTACTCGTTCGACCAGCACTGGGACACAGATATTGAGGAAGACTGCGATGTGATGGCTGTGGCTGGTCTGTTAAAGCTGTTCCTGCGGGAACTACCTGACACTGTCATACCTTTACACATGACGCAGGACTTTCTGGATATACAGGAAGGTAACACACTTCAGTATTTACCTTAGTGCCATACCAGTTTGTTGGTTTGGAGTGGTCAGTCGGAACTAGATGGATGATTAGATGCAAATGGGGGCATAAGGATGTGTCATTTATGTGTGTAGTTTTGGAGAAGAGTTTTCATAAAATGTTTCTGTGTAGTCTGGCTACTCTTGACTACTACGACCCGTGAAGATTCCGGGATAGAATAGGTCTTCAGCAACCCATGCTTGCCGTCAAAGGTGACTATGCTTTATCGAAAAAGGCGACTAACGGGATCGGGTGGTCAGGCTCGCTGACTTGGTTGATGCATGTCATCAATCCCAATTGCGTGGATCGATGCTCATGATATCAATCACTGGATTGTCTGGTCCAGACTCGATTATTTACAGACTAGATGGATGATTAGATGCAAATGGGGGCATAAGGATGTGTCATTTATGTGTGTAGTTTTGGAGAAGAGTTTTCATAAAATGTTTCTGTGTAGTCTGGCTACTCTTGACTACTACGACCCGTGAAGATTCCGGGATAGAATAGGTCTTCAGCAACCCATGCTTGCCGTCAAAGGTGACTATGCTTTATCGAAAAAGGTGACTAACGGGATCGGGTGGTCAGGCTCGCTGACTTGGTTGATGCATGTCATCAATCCCAATTGCGTGGATCGATGCTCATGATATCAATCACTGGATTGTCTGGTCCAGACTCGATTATTTACAGACCGCCCTCATATAGCTGGAATATTGCTGAGGGCAGCGTTAAACAACAAACAAAACAAACAAAAAAACAAAAAAACTCTTGATTACAGCTTTGGCTGCATACATTTTTCAGGCAGTTGGATAGCCTAGTGGTTAAAGCATTCACTCGTTTTGTTGAAGACCTGGTTCTATTACCCACTCTCTCTCTCCAGGCAACAAGGACCAGGTGGTCCAGCAACTGAAGTCGAAGCTAAAACAGCTGCCCGTTGAGAACTACGACCTCCTGAAGTACCTGTGTCAGTTCCTTGTGGTTGTGACACACCATGAGAAAGACAACAAGATGTCCGCTATGGCTCTGGCCATTGTGTTTGGACCAAACCTTTTCAAGTAAGTCTCATGTTATACTATGATAGTGAATCCACAAATTATTTTGACGACTAAAGCAATCAAGCTTATTTGCTTGATGTTAGCGTAAGAAAAAAGTGTGGTAGATATTATATAAGCGAAAGTTTAGCAATCAGATACTTGTGAAAGGAATGGTTCCTGCACAAATTTCCTCATTTCAGGTGTGGTGATGGCATATCTGGGCTTCGCGACCAAGGTACCACAAACCAGATTGTGTTCAAGTTAATCGCAGAGTACGACACAATCTTTAAGCAGTCTTATGAAGATGCTCCAATTGTGTCATGGGTACGTACATTATGTCATTGTAACTGCTAGCCAGTCGGTCCGAGGTGTCCCTTATCTCAGTGCTTCACAGCTCTGTGTGTGTGAACTGGGACAGATATCTATGATTGGTTGTAATCAAACATGTCAAGGGTAACGGATAAGTTGGACAAAGCTTGATAAAGAGATCTAAAGCATTTGAAAAGAATGGTCTACATTGTCAAGCGTTAATGTTTTCATGTCTTGGGTTTGTATTTATGGTTATATATGATGGCATATAATACCTAAAGAATACAATTCTCCAAACCTTACAGACAAAACTGGTCCTCCTACAGTCAACAAGGCATGCAATAAATCAGTTTATCACATGTGGCCTTAAGTAGGGCTGGTATGCTTGGGGACAGCAAAGATTAATTTCATTGCTGTTTCCTTGTGTATAATTGTTCTTTCATTATTAAGACTCTTTAACTTCTGATAAATTGGATCATTGAGGGAATATGTTGCTAAGAAATTGTCTTCTATAAGAATTGCTGCTTTTGTGATGCTGTGATGTGGTTCTCATTCACTCACTCACACATGCTGTTGTGTTCCAGGAGAGACGGTACAAGATGTCTGCTCCACCTCGGCCGCCTCCTCCCAAGATATCTGCATCTGCTGATGATTCTCTCAACTTGTCTTCCCCTAGAAATGTAAGAGTGCTACCGTATTCGCCGTAATATGCACCCCGGGCCCTAAGATAATGAACAAATGGGATGCATATATAATCCAACAAACGCTAATGAAAGAACTTAGTTCAAACATCAATAAAATCAAAACAGTTTTGATAATAGTTATTAGACCATTATACACCCCTTCAGCTCTGCTGTTTACTGTAAACTGTACTGTACACAAGAAAATGTGGGATTTTCATGTCAATTTTGGTCTTATTCGGGGTGCTAATAAAGATAATTTATTGATTGGTCTGGAAGTTGTCAGGGGGCTCTTATTGAAGATGGGCACTTAATATGGCAACATACTATGTCGTTATGGGTGACCCAGTCGCCAGAATGTCACAAATCATCATGTTCATTGCGTCTCCTTTGATCAAGGCAATCCAAGATTTGTCCTGATTATGTTTCGTGGTTTGTCAACACCATACCCAAAATGGAATATGTCTTACTGCAGCGTAACAACATTCACACTCTCCCATCCTGTACGTAGGCGTTCTTAATGAACTCTGTGTGAGCAGAAAGAACATGTTGTTGAGGAATATCATTGATGGCCCTGATTTGCAGGTTAGTATGAGGAGTTACGACAGCAGTCAGTACCAGGACATGGAGGAGATGGACCACAGCGACACCTCCCTCATCATCCCCCAATCGGGGGGCCGATCTCACCTGTCAGGTATACAGGGGCCGTATGTCCATGATGCCGAGGACTATCCGGACAGGAGCGCCTCACCCTTCATAACAGACAGGTACATCAAAAGACGTTAAAAAAGCTACTTGTTACCCTGTCAGATGCTCAGCATTAAGGTGATAAAACAAGTACAGGTTGACTTGACGTGTTTATTGGGGTATCCATACTTATCTGTGGCATGGTATCTCAGTGGGCTAGCACTATAAAACTGGCATACATCCAGACAAGTACAAGCAGCCACACACGTGCATGCATGTCGCTACATAAGTGCAATATTCATGAATGCGACGTGAAAGCCCATTTGACCTCACTTGCCATCTGGGCCAGTAGCAATATGAAGGTCACCACCAGGATTGAAGAACACCAGCAGATTTTGAGTCAGCCAGCATGTTTATCCATCCCTGCAATCAAAGGTTGTATTGTCATCCATCTTTACATGGTATGAATCCATTTGATCAAGATATCATTTCAAGTTTTGATAAGATTGGTATTTTTGTGAAACTATGTCTTCTCTGTTGCAGTGAGGGTCACAGCATTATTGAATCTCCAGTAGTTACAGCTCGGACACATGAGTGAGTACTGGAAACAGCAAACTCAATCTATTGATATGTATAGTGTAATGAAGCATACTTTGTACTGGATCCAAGGACACCTTGGGAAGTGTAGGCTGGGAATATTGGTCCCTAGCTTCCCAAGCTTGTCTAGGAGATCAGAGAGGATTGAGTGGTGACTTTGTGTCATTGTGCCATGATGGCTTTGAGGAATGCTCATGCTTTCAGTCACTGGTTTGTGTGACCGCTGTGACATTGCTGGCACAGTGCTAACCTTGGCGTTTAACAACTATCACGCATTCTCTGTGAATTGAGTTTGGGCAGCTTATTATTTTGCCAGGATTTTGAAAGTGTCCTACAGTTGATATGCTTACTTTAGGATTCGAAATTAACATTGGTCTGCTTGTCCGAGAATAGGACAATTCAGGAAGAACTAGTGACATTAATTGTGGACTACCACTTTTGCCATGACGTAGATATTGAACTACTGAAAGTAAGAGTTAATTTCTAACCCCAATTCCGGCTATTATTATTATTAATCAGGCCTCTGTGATAATGTGACTGTTGAGAAGGTCAGTTGTTCAAGTTCCAGCCACAGTGATGTGTGTTCCTTTTGCAGGCTGGTGGAGAAGACTATCAGTCAGAGCATCAACCAGCACATCTTCGGAGACCGTCTCAGTGTCAGCCCGGAGAAGGAGGCCAACTCCCACAGCACCAGTGGCTCCACAGGTAATGCTGCTGCTGCTGCTGCTGCTGCTGCTGTGTTCATTAGGCCATTTTGTATTTGTTTCATGGGCCCACTGCCCCTACTGAAAAGCATCTGGTAAAGAAATAAATTGATCATAAAAATATGTCTTCCGCTAGTAATATAGACCCTCTTATGCAATAAAAAATGTTATGTATAAATTCTATGTCTCATCACTATCAGTGATTCAAGAGGCCACCTGCAGTTTTAGCTCCACTGCAGAATGACTTTCATGTAAATATAGATATGATTGACATAGCTGTTTATTATAGCATTGTGTTTTTGTAATCACATGAACTATCTTTTATGGAACTATGAACTACTTCATTGACATTTCAGGCTCTGATGGCAATGTGGCAAACAGTGACAACTCTGAGAGGTTAGTTCTAGACATGACTAGTGACATTATGCCCAGAATAACTAGTGTCTATGCAGCCACTATTCCTAACATGGAAGCAGCAACACTGTTGATGACAATTTGAATTATGTTCCATGTAGTCAAAAAAATAGATTGTTGCACTGCTGTTTGTCTTTTATGAGTATGTATATACCTGTGCACTGACATGTATGATACTCCTGAGTATCCTAACCTTGTTCCACTCACAGCAGATCTGAAAGTGAGCCTGCGGCGGTTGTGAAGGACAGGATCTCTGTGTTTGAGGCCCATATTAAGGAGGATGGAGTCGATGGATCCCAGACACGCCCTAGCAAACAGAGGCCAACGTCTGCGGCGTTTGACTTCTTTGAAAACAAGAGCATTATCATTTCCAAGGTAAGCTATGAAACAGCTTGCTGCCTAGGCCTTTGTGATATAGCTGCAATATTGCTGACATATTCACTCAATCAGTATTACACAAGAAGACCAGCTGGTATTTCTGGTTAAAATTGCACCCCAGCAAGCTATGCAGGGCCAACATGCACGAAGCCATCTTAGCACCATCTTCCCGAAGCAAGAGAGTTAAGGTTTCCACCCTTGCCGAACTTGGCCGGAATTACTGGGCTCGATCGTAGCGCCACCAGTGGCTATTACCAGTTATGTCCCCTCTAAGCCTCTCCTGTGGACCAATGAGACTCCACCTCTCGTATCACTTGCGATTGCTTCACCCAAAATGGTGGCGCCCAGTCAGGGCGATCTGATCGATAATCGAGATCTATATTGTGATAAAATGGGCCTTACATCGCGAAATGTATCAAATCACGTGAGCACCTTAATTAAAAAAATGAAAAGATTTGGAAAATATCTGTTGACATCGAGTTAGTGGTGCACATGCTTTGTAAATCCTGCAATCGACCGAAATCTGCACTACAGTTTACGAACTGGATTTCAATTTCGGTGCACGATTTTGATTGGACTATGCATAGACTCGTTAGTCCAGCCAAAATGTAACTCCATAAAACCAGCCTAGTTTGGCAAGGGTGGAAACTGGACTTTTATAGTCAGTTAACTCGCTTGCCTCGGGAAGATGTCTCAGCACTAAGATGATCGTAACTCCCATACTCTCACATAGACTTAAGATAGTTGTAGCGCTAAGATGGCTATGTACAAGTGGGCTCAGGGTGCCGTTGTTCAAAGCGATCTTAGCGCCAAGGTGATCGTAACTCCCATACCTTAACATAGACTTACAGCAGTCTTAGCGCTAAGGTTGTTCTGTACAACGGCACCCTGGTCATCAGAGGCAACTAAATAGATCGGGTGGTCTAGCTCGTAGATTTGGTTTATTGCGTGTCATCGTAGCCTGACGGTGTGGATTGTTGCTTGCAATACCAATCATCGGATTGTCTGGTCCAGACTCTATTGTTTACAGCGGACAGCTGGAATATGGCTCAATGTGGCTTTAAATGTTTACTGATCATGATACTGAGGCTATTCTGTTTCTGTTCACAGGCCCCTAAGTCAACTGAGCTGAGGCAAGAGGAGTCACCTGACAGGTACTGCACTGTCTTGTACTGTCTTGTAATGTCTTGTAATACATTGCCTACTTCTAATGTTGTGGTTTACCTTGTGAGTGAGTGAGTAAGTTTGGTTTTATGCCGCTTTTAGCAATATTCCAGCAATATCACGGTGGGGGACCCCAGAAATGGGCTTCACACATTGTACCCATGTCGGGAATCAAACCCGTGTCTTCGGCGTAACGAGCGAACGCTTTAACCACTAGGCTACCGCCCCTGGTTTACCTTGTGACCTCTTGGAGAGGCATTTAGAAGTTGGAGAACTAAGTAAAGGATAAGACACATCACAAGTAACTTGCTCGATAAGAGTGTTAGAACCTACACCGAAACGTCGCTCCTAATTGTAATAAAGAAGTTGCTCATCCATATATCTTATCCTTACTGTTTACATTGTGATCGTGTTTCAGGGATTCTGACAGCTCAGACATGGGTGTTGAGCGGGATACGGAAGTCCTATCTTCAGTAAGTCTGTTTTTTGTATTATATGTCCATCTGAACACCATCATTATATATTATCTTACCATCTAAACTAATCTAATATTTTAGTGTGTCATGACGAATCATGAAGATACGGGTTAGAAATGATCTTCAGCCAACCATGCTTGCCGTAAGAGGCAACTAACAGGATCAGACTTGGTTGATATGTCATCGTATCCCAATTGTGTTGTCTGGTCCAGACTTGATTATTTGCAGACCGCAGTCAAACAGCTGAAATATTGCTGAGTGTGGTGTAAAACGACACACCAACAACAAGTGTTTCATGAGCCTAGCCGTTAAAATGATTTGAACCGGAACATTTTCAGTTCAAGAAGCCAGTGGGACCTCCAAGACGATCACCAAGTAGGAAGTTCCGCCGGAGTGTGGAAGGCTCTGACCTTATCATCCTTGATGCACAGATTGGTGAGCTGTTACAGGATACAGAGCCCAATCTTGATGAACCACCCCAACTGATTCCCCATCCTGCATTGGATCTCCACCCTCAACAAACAGCGGAGCCTCGTCCCCAGCCTGTGCCCAGGAAGCAGCCTCTCAAGCCTCGACAGGAGGCCAGCTCCTCATCAGATGATGACGATGACATGAATCACAACAATCAGTTTAAGTCCAGGATAGCCTTCCTCGACATCCACCAGGACAAGCAGTTGAAGGCCAGTCAGGAAAACTCACCTGACCACTCACCGGTCAATGTCAGGAAGCCCTTTGTCCCACCACTAGATCTCACCATCCTGCATGAACATGTCGACAGCTCAGGTGAGGGGACCCTTGATACCATCATCTGTCAAATTCTAAAGCATATGGGGGCAAGAGTGACCTAGTCGTCCAATTCGCTGTACAGAGTTGCGTCCCATGGGCACGCCAGAAACCTAAGATTGTGGGTTTAAATCCCAGTTCGCCCTGATGATATTTCTTGGATTATATGCTTGTGGGTTCACCAAAGTGGTAAATGTCTGAGACCTGCATCACTTTGGGCTTTCCTCTCACTTTTGGGGGCACGGGTGGCCCAGTCATCTTAGGTGATTTACTGTGCAGAGTTGCATCCCTTGGGCACGCCAGAAACCTATGAATGTGGGTTCGAATCCTGGTTCGCCCCGTTTCTAGGTTTGTCAGCACCATACCCGTGCTTGTGGGTTTCACCAAAGTGGTAAAGGCTGAGACCTGCATCACTTCAGGCTTTCCTCCTACATTCAGCTGACATGCCGTGATATAACTAGAATACTGTTAAAAGTTGTGTTAAACCCAACTAACTGACTTACTCACACGCAGTGATCTAACTGGAATACTGTTCCAAGCAAGTGTTAAACCCTCACTCACTCTAAAGCGTGTTCAAATGGCTGACTTGATTTGAAGTCAGAGATGCTTTACAATTAATGAATTCAGATAATTATAGTTTCCTCTATGGAAAGGCTGACCAACCAAGGATGCCATTTGGATGTTAAATGTTTCTGTCCTGGAAAACAAAGAATTTTCTTATCACAAACATATCTTGTGATAGTTAATTTATTTACTATTTGATTCAACTGTTCCATGATGATATCAGTAAGAATGTTTTAACTCCAGATCCGATCCCAGCTCGGGCAACTCAGTCCGCCATCTACATGATGAGGAAGCCCGTGCCACAGGACCCAACAGAAGATCTGGAAAACGCTGTCATCGTCTCGCCGAGATCCGTCAAACTCAAGAAGAAAAATGGGTGAGTTAGATGAACCGCCATTCTTGATGCATCATGATGGGCCTCGTAGCTTTCAGCGTTGTGTGGACTGGGTCAGGACATCGGAATGATAACTACTGGTATGCAGGGTTTATCCCAATGCTTCGCTGAGTCGATTTGTTCGGGTGTAGTTGTGCTAACTCATGCATGCACTACTGGAAAGCCCTGTTTTATCCATAATGATTTGAATTAATGTTTCGATCATTTTTAAGCAGGTTTGAGGCTGAATTAATTAAGGGTTTGGGGCACATGGTACTATTTGTGGAGTCCATTCATGCAGATGTTGCCAATCATGATATTCCTGTTACTGAAAGTCATGAAATTAATTCGAGCATGAAATTAATACGAAATATGTGAGTGTCCCTTGCTTGCAGGAAGTTATGCATTTTTATTTGAATATGAGTTTGTTGTCATGTCTGGAAACAATGACATATATATATATATATATAACACAGCTCACGATAAACAATGTAACTAACTGCTAGATTTAGTGCTTCTGACCAAGTTCAAAGGTGGTCAGTTCAGTGTCAAGTTGATCATGCAATTATAACAGTCTTTGTCTCTGGGGTCTTTGTTCTAGGTAATCTTGTCAAATAATCTACAAGCAAAACACTGCTCACTCGTTTCGTGAAATGTCCAGTAGAGCAACAAGCAGTTGTGTTGAGTACATAGACTGCTCATATACGTTCAAAGGAATGTGCTAATTTGTGAAACATAGCACTTTTGGAACGTGTACAATCTTGGCGGTGAACCTGACTTACATAAAAATTTTCCCCCATTTCATTGGAGTTCAATAACATGTTAAGCATTTGAAATTAAGTTTGTGATCAATGGACTGCTGTCATGCCATACTACAGCAAGCCTACAGTCTTGGCGCTATCGTTGCTGATTAGTTCAAAGATGGGGCTACTTGCAATAATTTCATTGTACATTTTAAGCCAAGGGTTGAAACTCACATTAATTTGGCAACATATTAATGTCATGACTTACAGCATCCACTCACTACCTCGCTCATGGGTGAAGGTCGCCAGCTGGCTAACTTGATGTGTGCGGGAGTTCCATCTCTCAGCTGCCTGGATCTGTGGATCAGGGGTCCAGATCCAAGGTGTACACCCATTGTTTGGCTTATTTGCTATGTCAGCACCATACATTACCCCTAGGTTCCTCCCACATCCACGAGTCGTCTAAGGCGCCGCGATTCGCATTAAGCTGGCGCGCCGTGATATTACTGGAATAATGTTAAAAGCAGCGTCAAACCCAACTCACTCACTACATCCACGACCGTTTTTCATCCCTGCCAATATGAGACTGAAACGGTGAACTCTCAGTGTGTGATCCTGGATTAGTCTCTGTATTTTGCAGATAAATAACTGAGGGGGTTAGATAACAAATGTACAAGCTATTGTGAAAGAAACAGGTATTGATAAATTAAATTGATATAGAATTCATCTTGCAATATATTGATCTACAGAACTTGGTTATATATGGGCCATTATTCACTAAGTTGACATTCCACTATGGGATGGAATTTGGCTTTGAAATAGAATGGGTTTGTTACAACCTTCAACCAGCAAAGTATCATTTGATAAAGTATGTGTCTGCAATATACCGATATGATAAAAGTTTAATAATAGTTTACAAGAAAATATAAAGTTGAATACATAGACCTGAACAAAACAAGTACCGGGTAACCACATGTCCGTGATGTACCATGCTGTTGGTATCGTACCAAAGTTGGAAGATGCCGCTCCAGGACACATTGTATACCCAGGCTTTAGACGAATGCAGTTCTTCCTCTTCCAGTTGTCTGACGTTGCTTCAATTAGTCATGACTGTCAGTTGAACGGTTGCTAAAAGGCAACCTTTGGAACCGAGAACACCCACTTTTAAAAGCCTATTCATGACTGAACCCAGCACACGAAGCCACAAATCAAAACCAGCAGACAGTGGGTAGTACTTGGTTCATGAGTCACTCCAAACACAGAAAACAAATGCCAGGTTGCATTCAGGACCCACAGACTTTTGAAGCTGCAGGCTATGACTAAATTCTTCAGATCCTCATTTAGGCAAACTGTGACAAATAAATCGACATATAAATTTACTGCAGGCCATAAGGCCCCATACAAATTTGAAACTACGTGCCAGACACGAGATGTACCTACCACAGGCCAACAGGCAGGTGCTTATTTCGAACTATGACTTCACAGCCAAACATCTTTGTGTACAGGTGGAATCGTAGCCATCGAAAGTTCATACTAGTGAGGGGCGGTCGGGTAGCCTAGTGGTTAAAGCGTTCGCTCGACACGCCAAAGACCCGGGTTTGATTCCCAACATGGGTACAATGTGTGAAGCCCATTTCTAGAGTCTCCCTGATTCATCATTTTTTTTTATTTTTCAGTATTTATGAATTAAATTATTGAGTGATATCTTTCTATGTTTGCCAACACCGTACACTATGTTTACAGATAAAGTTTACAGATAAAGCCTGTACCCCAGACCCTAGAATAAGTCTGTACCCTAGACCCTTGAATAAGTCTGTACTACTGGCACTAGAATAAGTCTGTATCCCATGCCCTTGAGCTAGTCTGTACCCCATACCCAAGAACTAGTCTGTATCCTAGAACCTAAAGAATATATTCCAAAGTCTAGAATGATTTGGCAAGTCTGGATTGCCTCGGCTCCTGACCTCCATTTTGATTTGATTTTGTACATTGTAGATATTTATTTTTAACTCTATTTCTGGACTAAATGTTAGCCTACCGTGTCTACTGTGTAAACTACTGACATATCTTTGTGGCATTCAAGAAGCTGTGTATCAGTGAAGATGGTTTACTTATGGGTTTCAACTTCTATATTCTTTCAATGTGACGTTTCGGTCCAGATGCTAGCAATTGCTTGATAAAGTTACTGGTATCTATACCAAAATGTTGATTATGAAAGAAAAAGAAGTTGACCTGTTGTCTAATCTGTCCTCACTGACCCCTGTTGTACCATCAAGCACCAGCTAACCCATGTTTCACTACTGTAGCCAGAGACCTGTGTATTCCATACTCTTCTATGATTGCACAGCTGGGCATCTAGCGACGAAGAGGACGCTAAAAACGAAGCGCCTCCTTCTCCCAGCGCCAGAATGTCCTTCCCGGACGAGAGGTGATCACTGACTCAGGTGGAGTGGACAGCTGACCACTTCACTGTTATTAATGTAGAGCATTTATTAGGATTTTATGGCCTCATCAAACAATTTTTTAATGTAGTCTTCAAACTTGTGTAACAGAAATTCAAGTGGATTGTTATCTATATTAGGCTATTAATAGTAGTGATGCTTCAGATTTTTTATGTTAGCCTAAAATCTTAGCACAGAACACACTTTTGTATGTAACAATTCTATCAAAATTCAAAACAAATTATATGAAAAAATATTATTAAAACAAGATATTTAGATTGACTTTATTTTACTGGAAACAAGTTTTCCTTCTACTGGAAACAAGTTTTCCTTCAAGAAACAATGAACAGACACACTTATCACTGTGGTATGAATACAAAACAAGTGTGAAAAAGATTTTTGTAGCTTGTAGACTTGTTAGTTTTTGCAGGCTTACACAAGTACAAATGTTGAAGTGGTCAGTTTGTGCTGTACTGCCCTCCCAACACTACCTCTCCTACTTGCTTTGTCTTTAGCACCTGTACTGCCTCTTCACCTCTGATTGGTCAATACTCTCACATTGACACATCTGACTGGTTTATATATTAGGCTTGTCATATCTGATTGGTTAATTATCACATCTTGTTCAGGCTGGATGTAGAATGCAATAATGGGTATGATGTAGCTCATTATAGACATGTAGACATGTAGTTATTGCACAGTATTTGCAAATAACAATTAGCACTGTGCTACACTTATTTTGAATTTCATTGTGTGGTTTGACTAATAATATTGCTGAGTGTTTCGTTATTTAAATGCTCTGACTCTATTCAGCACTTGATACCCTTGTTTGACAACCTTCTTCCGATGAGTGACTTCTTCGCATATTTAAATGCTTTTACCCAAAATGGAAGGTTCCTCCTGTGACCAGTACTTAGTATGAGTGAACTAGTGGCCAGCTTGTAAGCTAGCAGCTCAATGCATATGATGGTGTGACATTTCTATGGTGTAGGATTTGTGAGTGGCGTAGTACATTGGTTCTCTTGCTTGACTTGCTTCTAAAAAGAAATTGCTATATCTCAATATACAAATAAACAAGCTTTATCTGCAGTTGTCTTTAAAACAGTATCGCGACCCAGGTCATTTATGATGGTAGATTTGGTACCAAATCAGGGCCCAACAATTTTATGTATTTTTGAATTTATGTAGTGTTTATAGTATGTATTTTCTTTAAAATACATGTTATTTGAAAATGTATTGAAAGACGTCAGTGTTGAAAGCAGTTCAGTAGAATAGGTCTTCAGCAACCCATGCTTGCCGTAAAAGGTGACTATGCTTGTCGTAAGAGGCGACTATAACGGGATCGGGTGGTCAGGCTCACTGACTTGGTTGATGCATGTCATCGGATCTCAATTGGATTGTCTGGTCCAGACTTGATTATTTACAGACCACGGTCATAAAGCTGGAATAGTGTTGAGTGCGGCGTAAAACAACAAACAAACAAACAAACTTCATGAAAGCTGCATCTGTTTGGAAGCTTTACAACGTAGAAACTGAAGTATATCCCCATGGCATGTTGGTACCCTCACCTCCACCCTGTAATGCATGTGATCTAGACACTGCCTGTACGGATGAGGGTTCACTTGCAATGTCAGGCCCTGGTCCTTTGTCTCGTTTGGCTGTCATACTACCTTAGTTTAATATGGATGTTGATGAAATGTGCTTCATGATCAAGCTTCTAGTTTCATACTGTATAGCAGTGATACAATGATCAAAGTTCTAACACTAGTCTGTCATTTGCGCATAGGTGGTTTGAGGTAAGGCAAAAAAAACCTAGAGTGGTAATTGGCAAGAAAATGAGGAATTTTCTAATTTTATAATGACCTCTTTTGTACCAAAAAATTGTTATTTCAGAATTGCATAATAAGCATACTTATACCAAGAACTAAGAATTTCAGAATTATGTGATCATGTTTGTACCAAATTTCAGAATTACATAATGAATATTCTTATTCCAAAGATTATAGGAGGATCAGAATTATATAATCATTTTTATACCGAAAATTAAGAATTTCAGAATTATGTAATGAGTATTCCTTTGTACAAGTTAGGAATTTTAGAATTATTATGGACTTTCTTATACCAAAAGACTGTAAAGATACTGATAATGGCATTATCGTGAAAAGAATGTGTTGAAAGAAGTTGTGATGATAGAAGCGATGCATGTTGACATGTTTCTGTGTGCACATTGGTAAGATGTATACACTGAGCTGGCTCCTAGCTCCGCTGCATGTACAGGGCTGCTTCACTGGTGGATGGTTTGTGCCAGGGTGGTGTGGTGGTAGTTTGTGGTTGAATAAAGGAACTTGTCATAGCTTATGTACAACATGTCACAATGTTGAGACAAAAGTATAAGTTTTTAAATGAAAAAAGTTTTCACGCAAATAGAGGTTTTTGATATCATCACTTTGATAGGGAAAATATTCTATTTTCACGTTGTTCATGGTACTTCCATATTAAAATTGAATTGTAAAGTATAATTTGTTTCCTCCCGATGTACATTGTACAATGTTTCTCTGTATTGTTCCAGTGTGGCCGTCAACACCGACATTCCCCCTTCCCCCCCGGTGGAGCAGGATCAGTACAAGAAACACGGGTATGTTACCTGTCCTGAGTGAGTGAGTGAGTGAGTGAGTGAGTGAGTGTGTTAAAATCTAACGTCACATTGGCAATATTTCAGCCACATCGTGATGACACAGAATTATTCATTAATAAGACATATTTAGATTGAATAAAAACCTGTCATTGATGGACAGTAAAATAACTAGATTATCACAGTTTCAATTTTTAAACTGGCTGATCACATTTAAGAGAAGAAAATATCTTTCAACAATATAAAAATGGGTTTTGGATCACCAGCAACCAAAGTAAGGTCACCATACTAGGGACCATTGGTACTGACGATACTTCTGCTACCTTCAGGGTTCCCCAGCGGGATTTACACCATCCCTTCAGCCACTGGCAACGGTACGCAATTTAGACATCACTTAGAATAAACAAATATACTATGTTTAAAACTATGGTATGAATAAACATCCTTTGAATGAAGTGCTGTTACACTATCCACAGGGGTGAGACCCGTGAAGATTCCGGGGTAGAATAGGTCTTCAGCAACCCATACTTGCCGTAAAAGGCGACTATGCTTGTCGTAAAAGGCGACTAACAGGATCGGGTGGTCAGGCTCGCTTACTTGGTTTAAGTATGTCATTGATCCCAATTGCGTGGATCGATGCTCATGATATTAATCACTGGATTGTCTGGTCCAGACTCGATTATTTACAGACCGCCATCATATAGCTGGAATATTGCTGAGTGCGGCGTTAAACAACCAACCAACCACAGGGGTGGCTTATCCCACAGTTACTTGGTTGAGTTATCTGTGGAGAGAATACACAGAGAATGGGCAGAATACACCAGCCACTATACTTGTTTGCTGATAAACAAACTTGACAAAAAACATAACCTGATGTGTTATCATAACTATTAGAATAACATCTAGTCTCTGAAACGAACATATTGTACAGAAAACAGTTGATCAGTTATCTTAATAAAAATATAATTAAAGGGAGCCCAGTGACTCTCTTCATTTTCAGATACTGCAGTAATCTAGACTTGCCAAACATTATAGACTTGCATGGGCTGTATTTGATATATATTTGTATCAGGGTCTGTAAGACAGACTATCATAACCATGATAATCTTGTCACACTCCGCTACAGTCCCTGGGTGCCATTGTACAAAGTCATCTTAGCACTAAGGTGATTGTAACTCCCATACCCTAACATAGACTTACAACAATCGTAGCGCTAAGGTTGTTTTGTACAACGGCACCCTGATCAATGGAAAGGGATCTCCCAACTGTCCAACACGTGGTGTTCACACCGATGTTTCTTAAGTTACTTTAGCAGTTCAGCTGACGAGATTGAACTAATGATCGCAATGTATGACTGACCTCACTGAGTGTTGCCAACCTGGTAGCCTGGCACAGCCTCCACGTTCCACTGGGTAGAGGAGAGTGGAGGGTTGGTTGTTTCGATCCCTGGCTGTGTTGTACCACTGCCTGGTGCTCTGCATTTATGCTTTGTCTGAGTGGGGCGTCCAGGTGGCATGGCATCTCATGGGCTAGCACTATAAAACTGGCATTAGTTCAGAGTAGTACAAACAGCAACACACACATGCATGCAACAATCTCTTGTTTCTGTTAAATGTTTAATACGATTATGTATAGTAAACGGACAGAACAGTCTAAAACCTCAAAGAGGGAAACCTTTACCTCAAGATTTTACTGTCAAGATGAGTCTGTGGTTGGACCTGACAATAGTCCCCGTGAAGATCTTGTTATAATTAGTTTTCAGCAACACACGCTTGTCGTTGGCGATTAATGGGATAGGGGGGTTAGGCTAGTGGACTTGATGCAGTGTCATTGTAATCCATTTGTGCAGATTGATGCGCATGGTGTCAAAAATTGGAATGTCCGGTCTGGACTCGATTATTCACAGACTGCCATAATGTGTTAAACAACAAACTAACAAACCTATGAATAGAATTTGACAGACAGGTGTGAATGAAATATGATTGTTGATTTGTGATGTAATTTATTGCAGACCTGATGATGAATCCAGTCAGAAGCTCAGACAACTTACAAAAAGAATCCAATGTAAGTAGTGCAGACCAAGAAATTTTAAATATTCATGTTTTTGTCAGTTATCAGAAGATACCGTTTTCAATGTATTTGTTTGTTTATTTCAGTGTTGAAGAAGAGAATCAAAATATTTGACGAGAACTTCGAGAAGGAGCATGGCTACAGGGTGAGATGTTGTCCATTTTACCCTAATTATTATAGATAAATACAAACGGCAAAAGCATTAAAGTGTCAACAATCATCCATGCCCACCTTTTTCACAGGAACACAAATCTGCTTGACCGAGACTAGTATAATTCAGGAAGGACAAGTGACATTTCCTGATGGACGACCATTTTTACCATTACTCTGTTAGGGATCACTTTTCCGGACTAGCGAAATGAAAACCTAATTTCTAACTGTGATTGTCACAAACATCTAGCGTTACTTCATGTTGTCAGCCGTGAAGATGTTTTGCTTCTTGCTTCTGTGTTTGCCTGACAACATATCTTTTAATGGTCGCTGAAGAGAAACATAAAATTAGAATAATAAAATCCCTGCTGCTCACTTTAGAAAACAATTTAAATGAAAATGTAACAATTAATTGATCATGTCATAAGATTGTATATTGCTATTTCAGCCGTCTCACCATGACAAAGCCGCCCACACGGAGATTAAGAAATACATGACGGAGTTGTCACGTGCCAGGAAGGAACTGAAAAGTACGCACACACACTTTTTAACATTTACACCTTCTGCATAGCCATATAAGTTGTCTGTGATAACCATGCTGTAACGAAGCTGTCAGATGTGCTGACATTAATGGAAATGATCCATGTCGTTATGAGACATGAACTAGATCTTAAAATATATTGGTCAAGTCTCCCTTAGCACTGGTGGAGCAATTTTCACATTTCAAATGGCTGATAAAATGCCTGGGCTACATCTGTCATCACTACCATACCCCAAAATAGTCCTACGGGAGTTGTAGCCCTACGATTGCTTTGAGAAGTGGGGCTCAGCATCACGCACTGAGTCTTGACATGGTATACCATATTCAACGTAATAAGCGCCCAGGGCGCTCTCAAAATTAGGAATAGGGGGCTCTTATTAGAATATAAGTTTGATGAGAAAAAAACAGTTGAAAGATCGTAATTTTTGTGGTTTATGCTGACAGCCTGAAATAATACAAAAGAAAAGCCTGTTCATATTATACATGACAGATATATTTTCTAGAATTTAATTGCCGATAATTAAGGGTGCATATAACACACAATTGTGTATTATACACGAATAAATGAGTCTTGTGTACATTGATCAATTGGAAGGGGTGCTAATTTGGATTGTTCACTAGCCAATATATTAGCAAATACCAATATAGATGTCTGCCTGTTCACACGCAATAGGGAAATTAGAAAAAAAATAATTATGAATTGCAAGTAATAAATAAAATACTAAATAAGCTCCTTTATGAAACAAGTGAATAGTTCTGGTATCTGAGGATACTATGTGCTAGTCTATGATATCAGTGTTATTCTTTTGATGTAGTATTGATTCCTATGGTACGTTTTTATTTGCAGAATTGAAAGAAGAAGCTGAGATGGGAAGTCGAAGTCGTCATGGTAGTGGGGCATCCTCATCTGGGGAACGTAGCGACATTATTCCAACGATGCCCCCATCGATAGAAGACACCCTTGATGTCATCCTGAAAAATCTGCAAGAGAAGAGGCGTGAGATGAAGCGACCTCGGGAGATTTCTGTGAGTCAATCTGTGTTATATACTGAATTTCCGCGTGACACTGATCTGATGTTGATAAATGTTCAGGATAGCACTGATACCACTGATACTACTGGGGCCTGTTATATGATATAAAGAGGCAAGGGTTGTCAAATAACTACTGCCATGGACAATACAATACATGCCTTTAGATAACCCAATTTCGTTTTCTGTATTCGATAAGAGTCAAATAAATAAGCAAATAAAAAAAAGTTCTTTCGAATACCCTACCTCTATGACATTAAAGCCTTAAATTCCTGTTTGTGCTGAGTACCACACTAAAAAAAGTTAAAATGTTGAACAGACGTCCTCTTCAGTGCCAACATATCTAATAGTTGTAAGAAAAAATAAAATATTTTGTCATAAAATTAATGGCTTCACACATTGTACCTATGTGGGGAATTGAACCTGGGTCTTCGGTGTGACAAGCGAACGCTTAACCATTAGGCTACTCCACCACCCCCACAAAATTAAGCACAGATATGATTCGGAAAATGACTAGTTTATATGGACGTCCTTAGCAAGGGTTTATCTTATGTCATGGTGTATGATTATCAGCAGTATAAAAGTGATGGGGAGAATTATGATGATAAATGGTTTTGCAGATGATGAGCTATGAGCAGGTGCTGGAAGAAAAGCTGGCTGTCCAGAAGGCCTTACTTCACTTTGAGAGCATTCATGGTCGGCCGGTGAGTTTTATACAACTGTTAACAACATATGGTCTCTAATCAAGTCTTTGATAGGCATATAGAAGTTGAAAAAACATGAAGAGATGACACTTTTGCACTTCAACAGTGTTTCAGGGATACTTTTAGCCCCTTTATCAGGTGAAGACATCCCTGAAACATTGTTACAAACTATAAGGATGCTTTCATCAAAGTGTCATGTCTTCAAATGATCTCTGTTGTTTGAAATCTGCATTTCCGGTTCTCACATGCTAACGTTGATATTTTGTTTTCAGAGTTCGAAAATTGAGAAAGATCTGATGCGTCCCCTGTACGACCGGTACAGATCCATCAAGAGGCTGCTCGCCAAGCCCACTTCAGTGAGTAGTAGTCTGATACTGGTGTTGTATAGGGGGGAGGCCCACTTCAGTGGGTAGTAGCCTGATACAGGTGTTGTATAGGGATAAAGCCCACTTCAGTGAGTAGTTATCTGATACTGGTGTTGTATAGGGATAAGGCCCTCTTCAGTGAGTAGTAGTCTGATACTGGTGTTGTATAGGGATAAGGTCCACTTTAGTGAGTAGTAGTCTGATACTGGTGTTGTATAGGGGTAAGGCCCACTTCAGTGAGTAGTAGTCTGATACTGGTGTTGTAAAGAGGGTAAGGCCCACTTCAGTGAGTAGTAGTCTGATACAGGTGTTGTATAGGGATAAGGCCCACTTCAGTGAGAAGTAGTATGATACTGGTGTTGTATAGGGATAAGGCCCACTTCAGTGAGTAGTAGTCTGATACTGGTGTTGTATAGGGGGTAATGCCCACTTCAGTGAGTAGTAGCCTGATACTGGTGTTGTATAGAGGGTAAGGCCCACTTCAGTGAGTAGTAGTCTGATACTGGTGTTGTATAGGGGTAAGGCCCACTTCAGTGAGTATAAGTCTGATACTGGTGTTGTATAGGGGATAAGACCCACTCCGGTGAGTATAAGTCTGATACAGGTGTTGTATGGGAGGGGGGTGATGTTAAAGCTTGGCCGATGGATTTACCAGCTATATATTACTCCATACACCTAGAAGTATTTGCTGTCGGTAAAGCATGCAGTACAACACAGGAATCTGAAGGTCTGATTAACGCAGTGAAATATGCAGTCATTGTTGATCCATGTATTTAGGGAGTAGCAAGTAATGCTGTGTTTCTCCTCCAGCCTCGCAATACAATTGACCTGGAGACTGTGCCTGAAGATCAGCCTATGCAGATTACTGCAGCAACAACATCCACCTCCAAGTTTGTAAGTACATCACATTCCTACTAGAGTAGATAAAGCGTGCAGTAGTTAACGAGTTGGGTTTAATGCCGCTGTGAACAATATTCCAGTTATATCATGGCGTGTCAGCTTAATGTGGGAAGAAAGCCCGAAGTAGAAGTGGTAAAACCCACAAGCAAGGGTATAGCCCTGACAAACCTAGTGACACATGAGTGAACCAGGAATTGTCCCCATGATGATAGGTTTCTGGCGGGGCCCCCTGTGCCCCCCTGCAATAGCAGAGGGATGGAAAATGATACTGTGCTAGATCTGTTGAATCAGGAGGCTTTGTAACTAATTGTGCTGATTTAGCTGCCTTATTAAGCTGGTTGTGAGATGCATCACATTCAAACTTCCAATATCATAAACTATCATCTGTTGAAATTATTTATGTCTTATGTATTGTTTGCACTCTCATCCTCATGTTTGCTTGTAGAGTAGGAGAGAATTATTGATTATTGGAATGGATAGGTAGCATGTTGTTCAGTTCTACAAACTGCTTCAGATTGTTTTATTTCAGAATACAAGCCAAAGGGTTGGTGTGACACTGAGTGTAATGCTGGTATTTGAGACTTCTCAGGACTATGAGCCATATTAACAAAGTGGTGATTTCTATCATTTCAGAGAAATGCTATTCGAGTGCCAACAGGGAGCCCTGACTCGGATGAGATGGGTGACCTGGGAACAATGGAGTTTGCAGTAACACGGGACTTCTCCATCTTACGGGAGACGGGTCGACACGGAGGCTACAACAAGAACAAGCTCTCCACTGCCAATAAAAAGAGTGATTCTGATGATGAAGATGACACACAAACAACAGACTTCAATGTCAACGACTTGTCCATGTAAGGAACTTACTTAAAATGCATAATTATTTTTTTCAGGGACAGCATTACTAAAAAACTTAAATTTCCAATCCTCAACTGATTTAACAAAAAGTAAATGAGACAAGCCTCAACAAAAAATGTGGGTTCATGTAGAGACCCGATCCTGCCTGTGTTTTGGTGAACTTTACTGTGTTCATTAGCTGAATGAAGGTGTAAGAATCTACATGCAATACATGCAATACATGCAATACAGTTGTATGTTTTCTCATTGACTCACCAACTTCTATAATGCCAATCAAACAGTTACCTGTGTTTGCTGATGGGAAGATATACCACATTGGTCTTCTCTATAGATGTGAGATCTATACACTGTGTATTGTTTTTTTGTAGACCTGAATTGCAGGATGAAGTTCAGAGAGCAAAAATGGAAAAAAAGAGATTACGGAAAGTGTTGCGGACATTCGAAGAGGACTTTGTTACTCAGCAAGGGAGGTAAGTGATCTGTGCAAATAGCACAGGATTGTATACATAGGACGTAAGGACAGATAAGTTCATCAATATGCAGGTTGACTTTCTGACTGATTCTTTATATATTATTATTGCAGAAGAGTGCAGAAGGAAGATAGATCACCAATGCAAGGAGAATATAGCCAATATAAGGTGTGTATGAAACTCTGCAATCATGACGACTAATGAGTATTGGGTGGTTGCAACATTTGACCTGTATATAAATGTGTGTCATCGTGACCTGACATCAAGGGTTGTTGCACATGCGGTCGACCACTTGTTCAGTTATATACACGCAGATGTGATAAAGATGGTATGTAAAATACATGATACATCCAGCATTCATTTGGCTCTATGTCTTGTTATACGGAAGGGGCGGAAGATGGTAATTTGTTTCCAAATCTGAGGGCAAGTGCAATTTCAAAATTAAACACCTTTTGGGCTGCTTCACTTACCCGGCCATGTTATGATGTTGGTAAAGCCTCAGAACTTTTTACTTTTATATTTCAAGACTATTCCAGAAGACTAATGGAAGTTTATTTGCCAGTCTTCTTAGTTTGTAGCTCGTCCTGCTTGAATGAGACAAAAATGTTTACTATATTTACATTTTCCGCAGTTTTGTTCAGTTTCGATTTCTACCAAAATTAAAGCACAATTTAGTAGTCACAGCTTGTGGACTTGCGTGAATTTCCAAGTCTGAAAAACATCAATGCAAAAGTGTTTTCCATTTCCAGCAAATAAAAGCAAAGTTACGTCTGTTAGAAGCCCTGCTAACAAAACATCACCAGGGGTTTACAGATCGTGTTTAACACACAACACCAAGTACTCGTAATACCAACACTGAGGGTAGAACCACTTGAATGGGACAACACAAGACCACAGCTCCCTTCTTGGAGCTGATAGTCAAGGGAGGTAACCAGTGTGGACGAGGATGTGACTTGGTCGTCTCTCCGGGCATCATGGTGACAGATTGTGATTGTTCATATGTGTTAATGTGTCTTCAGAAACAGGAGAGCCCAAACAAGATTTTTGACATTTTGTGGTTTCTGTTCGTCTGTTAAAATCAAAGCTGTTGGATGTGATTTCGGCAGTGCCATACTGTTGTGTATAAAGTGCGATATGACATGAACATGGTTGTGATGTCACACAAGATGTGTGTGATAGTGTGGGATCAAGTGCACAGAAAGGACTGTTGCGGCATGCTGGGAAGCTGGAGTTTACTGGCCACCCAATGTGGAGTCTGAGACTGATGATGAAGTGTCCTTCTTGTTTGTTATGATATGACAGTCTCTGGATGGTTTTAACTATTTTATATAAAGCTGACAAATCAGTATTTTTAGAGTGCCATAGCTGAGTGATAGCTCATTAACAATGTCTGAAAAGTTTTAAATTTGCTTTTGAAGTGTTAACGTTAAAGGAAAGAAGGAAAGGGTTTACAAACTCTTTATGATAATCTCCGGTTATACAGTGACACCTTGTTAGTTCAGAGCTGAATGCCCAGCTTCAGGATGGTTACTGTGTGGAATATCTATTTATCATTAGAGGGACATTACTTCAATGATTTGTTGAAATGGAAATTTGTTATCTGGACAGTTTCACCAGGAAAGTAGCATCCGGATGAACAGGGTATCACTGTATTGACAGTCCTGTACAGTGAGGAAATGTGTGAGCATTTAACATTGACTAGTCAGGACGAATATGTTTTGAAGAATTACAGTTGACTCTCATTAAGTGGACCAGAAAGAAAATAAGGATAAATATTAAGAAAATATCCCCAGGGTGTAATTATTCACAGATGTATCAATGCATTGTGTGTTTACTAGATACGCGATACATCTACTTCATGTTTTAAGGCTGTATAAATTTTCAAAATATTTGCAAAGTTTTTCACTAATCCAGTCTGATAACTGGTTGGGATAGCATTACCTTTCAGGCCATCATGAACAAAACGCTAAGTTAGCCCTGATTGCATAATGCAGAGATTCAAAACAGAGCAAATTTGGTCTTTTTGCTTGTTACTTTCAAATTGGAATTTTTTCAAGTTTAATTTTCTTAAATTCAGAGGTCTTTTAACATTGTATATGAACCTTACATCCAGTTATGTAGACCTAAGCATAAAAGCCTCTTCCTCGTTATTGGTCCTGATATCAGAGAAATACAATTTGATTCGACCCATCCGTCACATTTCATGTTACTATATTAACATTAAGTTGGCGTGTTTGTATTCCAATTTGGGAATATTTACTGATATTTGCTGCTGACTTGGAGCTGAATACCGGACTTGGAACAGGCGGAGACACATCCCTGTAATACTGTAACAAGGCTAAAGTTACCAGTCATTTGAATTCAAAACAAATTGGTTGACAGCAACATACCATACATAGAGAAGTTCATACATAAATTGTATCGCAAAACGTGTCTTATTGCCACTCCAGTATTGTATCGATGTGTGAGGTAGGCAAATCGGGACAGCACTAAATTATACATTTCTATTCCTGGTATATTTTTTGTCATTTGACACAAGAATCAATTAAGGAAAAATTCTGGAAATGTGGAAACACTTATCTTAGACAATTTAATATTTGAATTTGAGAGAATATTGTTGTAAAAGTAATTAGGTGGGAAACCGTTGATCACTGGCCGGAACCCACTGACGAACTTAAGATGAATGAGACCATCCCAGTTTGATCTATGTACATTTTGACTGAATTGTTGTTTTGAACCTAACATTCATGAATAAATCTTGATCATATTGATAGCAATTGCAATTATTAGATATTCAGTCCGTATGGCTGTGTGATTGATTATTTGACATATTGTTTGTGTTGAATAAGGTTGGAATCCAGCAGTGGGTTAAGATACTGGATAAGTAGACGCTTTAGCTTGGTCCATTCAATGAGAGTTGACTGTAGTTGGCAGAAATGTGCTGTAGCCATTGAATATGGCTGTGAAAAATCAGTTTGGGTATGGTGAGAGTTCTAGTTTGTAATTGTCTTAATATCTAGGGATGCACTGAACATACACATGGAACTATTACTTGGTATCATGTGATTACTGTTTGAAATCAGATCAACCTGCTATAGTTTTATGTCAGAAGCACTGATGATTTTGTGGCAATAATTTTAAGAAATTGTTAATAATTTCTCTTACTGTCAGATGTTACTTTATTTCTGAATGGTTGTGAATATTTGAGAATGTTAAGTTTTGCTTTATGGTGTTTTTAGCTTTGTGTAGCCAAGTGTATTTTGTGTAAAATATAGGTGCTTATGGGGGACCTACCGTTTAGGGAGGGGGGATGGGGAGTTGGAGGGAGGAACAATTTTAATATTTTCATATTGGTCAGGACATCCAGCATGTCCAACTCTTTATTTTTTCCCCATTATTTCTGGAACAATTTTTTTCAAATTATCCCATCCCCACTCTTTTACCCCCACCCGCCCCCAATATCAAATGGTTGGTCCCTAGGGTTTCAAAAGACACAGCATGTATACTGTGTGTATGCTGCATGGTTCAGCACAAACTACCTTCAAAACCATTCAAGTATTTCCGAGTCCCGACTCCCCATGCATGACACCGCTTGCTGCTAATCAAACATGCTTCACACAAATACTGCCACGTTACGAGACAGCTAGGGAATTCTGTTGCAGAATTACAGATGCTCATACGTAGACAGGCATTCAAGGATGCAGCTGTGCTCATAGTGAAAGGATGATACACATGCCCCTGGTATCAGAATGGCTGCATATGAACTAAGGCCACTATTAGTTGTTAGTAGGATTGCTGATCTAAATGTTTTTAGTGGAATTATTAATTAAAAAGGTTTAGTATCGAGATGAAACTTTTGCTCTCATTCCTCCAGGGTGCATGGGTGCCCAGTTGGCTGAGATAGGCAATTAGCTGCGCTGAATACGTGCGCCAGAAAACTAGGCTTCTGGCATTGTCAGCACTAAACCCATGCAGTTGATTTCACCAAAGTGATGAATGTCAACCAGCATAACTTTGGGCTTTCCTCTCAATCAAGCTGACACACCACGATATGACTGAAATACTGTTCAAAGCGGTGTCAAACCCAGCTCACTCACTCATTCCCTTCTGACGAGGCCAAGTATCGTCCCTTTGGATTCCCAGATAGAAGTTTATATACAATAGAACATTCCCTATTCCCACATCATAGTTCAGCAGGAGGGCTATGTACTTTTGGTGTGTCACGGTATCATCGTGTAGCTCAGCACATGGCGCGGGTGACTACCTTATTTGACCATGGTGCAGTTAGATATTTTGGTTGACATCACACGTTTCAGATTTGTAACATAGGATTTGCAGCTACAGGTTTACAAATGTGTTAAAATCTTGCTATAATTGTGTTATTTTTTGTTATTAATTTTGAGCTATGGTAAAATAAAGTCTTCATTCAAACAGAGCTTCCTGCATCTCTGCTGACCTGCAAAACTGTCATACAATAGAGGTGAAGAGGTGTCTGTATTTGGCTCTATACTTCAAATTTATTAATGATGTTATCAGTGCTGGTCAGGACAACTTGCATAATAAGTAGTTTGTACATTACCTTGATATTACACAAAGGGTTTTACAGTTTCATCTCAGGTTACTCTTTGCAGAAACAGCTGATCTAAACATGAGGTAATGTTTGCAGAAACAGCTGATCTAAACATGAGGTAATGTTTGCAGAAACAGCTGATCTAAACATGAGGTAATGTTTGCAGAAACAGCTGATCTAAACATGAGGTAATGTTTGCAGAAACAGCTGAACTAAACATGAGGTAATGTTTGCAGAAACAGCTGATCTAAACATGAGTTAATGTTTGCAGAAACAGCTGATCTAAACATGAGGTAATGTTTGCAGAAACAGCTGATCTAAACATGAGGTAATGTTTGCAGAAACAGCTGATCTAAACATGAGGTAATGTTTGCAGAAACGGCTGATCTAAACAACAATTACTGTTTTCAGAACAGCTCATCTAAACATGAATTAATGTTTACAGAAACGGCTAATCTAAACAACAATTACTGTTTTCAGAACAGCTCATCCAAACATGAATTAATGTTTACAGAAACGGCTAATCTAAACAAATTAACGAAACCCTTAAAGTCAGTGTTTATCAGGTATTATCGCCTCAAGACCCATAAATGACAGTTATTGATTATTAAAGTTGTTGATTTTGAAACAATGTATATAGATTGTAAATTTGCGTATATATTTCCACGTGGATGGATGTGATATACTTATATATACATGCCAGGCAGCTAATTGTGTTTGTTAATGCCAGACAGCTTCGTTTGTTGAGAACCTTTGTATGATGGAGATATTTTGTAGGATTTATATTATTGATAGTTTCTTCAGATACCTTGAACAGGCTCAGGTTCTTAGAATGGGCTGTAGGATGACCTATTTGAAGTAGATTGAAACTAGAAACATTGTGAAAATAAGTAAGGATCATATAATGTATCCAAACTCAATTGTATCTTAATCACTTGGGATACGAGAAATGTAACTGAATGACATGTGGCTAATGTGAAAACTGAACAGTTGATGATAGATTTGCCAGAGAAAGGGTCAATTTTGAAATCTGGTTCACGGCCAATTGCTCTAAAAAAAACCCATAGGTTTTTATTTTATTTTGAAAAAGTGCTACCCACGTCATCATTATAGCACCGTTGTTCACCAAAGTTTCCTGAACACTGCTGAACAAGATCTGTATCAATATGTCACTTGTTTTGCTCCCAAAGTGGCATATTCATAGGTGATTGGAAAAGAAATTGGATTTATAATTCTATTATTAGAATTTTGTGAGAGCATGCAGAGTAGACAAAGATACTAAATGTACCAGCTTTGCGTTATGCAATCAATAACCTTATGTATATTTTTCTGTTGATTATTTATAGCAATGGTAGTTTAGTTTGTTCTGCCAGTGATGACATCTACACAATTGTTGTTCGTGAATATCTCGTCTCTTAGTGTATGCAAAGATTGTAGTTACCTTGTTATCACTCTAAATGTGTTGGTGATTACCGTTTCATAATTCAAAAATGTTTGTTGGACTTGAATCTGTGATGTGTTTACGTTCATCTGTGTATGGCATTTTAGAACATTATGGTTTGCGGATGTATGTTTCCCAAACCATTGTGATTGGTTGATAAGAATATTTGTTGATTTTTGCGATCTCTCAAAGGTAATGTGGATACGGTGATACAGAGAAAACATTAAATGGAAGAAAAGCGTCTGTTATAATGACACATAGCGTCACATCCATTCCCTTCATTGACCTTCAGATTTTTAGGGTTTTTTTATTGTTGAAATTAATCTGCTATGTGTCAGAAAGAAAAAAAAATGTTTTCAATGTTTTGAAATAAGACATTGATGACTTTTCTGCCATCACATCCAAAAATAGAATGCATAACTTGAAATTCTTGATCAAGTTGGTTATTTCATAGGTAGCAGTACCTTATTTCATGTAATGCCTCCCTATGGTATATGTCATATGACACCTATTTAATAAAGTAGGAGGCTATTTATGATGATGATAATGATGATGATGTTGACAGTTACATGACTATTATGACTATGAAATTGCATTAAGTTTCTTGCATGCAATGTATCAAAATTGATCCATTTTTTGCAATTGATTCTTTACTTAGTTGTGCACTTCAGTTTGCAACTTATATTTTGAAACATCTTGTGTATTTTTAATTGAAGAATCTTTGTTCTAAACAAAAATGCCTTTTTGTATATCAGATTTATTTTTGTGTTACGATGGGTGTACTTTAAGTATGATGTGGCGATACACTAGGCTAGTAGTGGAGTGCCTGTCATGCACATGTATATAACAAATACTTATATTGATGTGAGCAAGGGGCTCTGAATATTGACCTTATTTATATACACTGGCTTTGTCAATATTGTCTGTACATAGGAGATCTTGTCAAAACTGATATTTTCATAGAGAGCATTACTGACAGTGAACCAATCATTGTTGATTTTCAATAATTTAATATGACTGTCATTAAATTGTTTCAGTCTAGAACACTCTCTGTTTTTATTGTCTGATGACATTGCTGCTTTTATCATTTTTCCACATTTGGTTTGTTGAACAGAAATGGCAACTCTCATTTGTAGGAACACATCTCAGAACTTCAGAACAGTTTCCTTATTTCGAAAATGAGCACTTGGCACTGACTTCTACCCCCTATCTGAGACTGTCGGCAAGGCTAATCATCTGCAGGGGCGGTCGGGTAGCCTAGTGGTTAAAGCGTTTGCTCGTCATGCTGAAGACCCGGGTTCGATTCCCGACATGGGTACAATGTGTGAAGCCCATTTCTGGTGTCCCTCGCCGTGATATTGCTGGAATATTGCTAAAAGCAGCGTAAAAACACACAAGGGCCAAGGGCAAATCTGTTACATTATAATTAAGTGACGTCGGAAATCGGCAGTGATGACCTCACACCTGAGTTCGGGATGATCTAAAAATATTGCTGTTATTGTACTTTATTGAGATATATTGTACTTTATTGAGATATGCGTCGACACTGTAGCAAGTAAGATATCTACTGTATTATATTTGCTTGGAAAAATGATGGAATAGTTCAAAGCTATGGAACGGGATGTGTATTGAAAGTTTTTTTTGGTTTTTTTTTAAATCAAGAATTGTTTGTTGTTCTACAGATGATTTCTTTAGCCAGCACCTGACTCACTTGAGCTTACAATGTATGACTGGCGTTCGTAAGACAAGGTGGCCGTGTTGTGTCGCCAGGACATCTATCTTGAACTTAAATGGTTTTTTATTCAGTTCAATTTTCGCCATGAGTTGATGGTCTGAAGTCTACATTGCAAGATGTCAGAGTACTCATGGATGGCGCTATAGTATCTGGTTCCCGGACGTTATGATAAATGGAGTCATCAAGGACAATGACACTGAGGTTGTTTAGATGGGGCAGAACTGATGTTCCAACCAGTCAATGAAAACACCACCATTCATTTCCTTATGTCGTTTGTTTGTTGTTTAACGCCGCACTCAGCAATATTCCAGCTATATGACGGCGGTCTGTAAATAATCGAGTCTGGACCAGACAATCCAGTGATTGACAGCATGAACATCGATCCACGCAATTGGGAACGATGACATGCATCAACCAAGTCAGTGAGCCTGACCACCCGATCCCGTTAGTCGCCTTTTACGACAAGCATAGTCGCCTTTTACGGCAAGTATGGGTTGCTGAAGACCTATTCTACCCTGGATCTTCACGGGTCTCATTCCTTATGATAATCATCAGTTTTCTTTTTCGCCTCGAAAACTAGATCACATTCATCAATAAGCATGGGATCCCGGGTTCAGGCGTGCAAAACAATGGCGCGATTACCTTCACCTGATGGTGCCATGGATGCTTTTCGTCCATCTGACTTAAGACACACGTACTCGGCGGAATGATTCTTATTCAACCAGGTTTCGTCAAGGTTAATGGTCTGGAAGTCCTGACTGCGATAGTCATGAATGGTGCTGAGATAATGTGACCTCATAGACAGGGTGGAATATATTCCCCTGAAAGCTGGTCTGTCACCGCCAGTGTGTCGAAATACCATCTCATGCATGGAAAGCATATACAGTCAGGTCTCGTTAATCCGACAATCGGCTTTATCCGACACTAATGATTGGAACCGATTAAATCAGTGCTATTTAGACCCGTTAATCCGACAATCTCGCACTCCGACTCCGACACACCTAATTTGCAACGAATTACCGAAATTAATCATTAATCAGTCTCTTTAATCCGACACCGTGATCAGCGTACTCCGTGGTCATCTGCCCGCGAGTATACAGCCCGTGTTTTGATGCGAGACGAATCGGCTAGTAGCTGCATATTACAACGGCAGCAGAGATAAACTTGTTTAACAATAAACAATTAATGCTTTTGAATAAAGAAAACAGGATAATTCACATGCTTAGATTACCTAGTATAACTGTAGTCCGGGAAGTGGTAATTGTGCCTTTAATTTCCTCCGGAATTCTACTTCATCTTCTGTGAACATGTATGTTTCATAAAGCATGTACACTGTACGCCTAATCACCCCTGTATCAAAGCCGTCTAATATAACCTTTCGTCCCAGGTTTTGGTTTTTGAGACGACCCCTACCTTCTTTGTGTTATTTATCATACGGTAGACTTGGTACTCCAGACTCCATGTCGTGCACCGTGGCTGTGGCTATGCACATGTAATGTAACATGCCTCATACGGAGAGCAGTGTTGACAAAAGAAATGCAGCGTCATTTTGTTATTTTATATGATGCACATCTAGAATTTTCTCCAATTGACTTTTTGTGTGTGGATAAGTTGTTTATGAAGACTACATTATTATTATAACTGAGTCACATGCGAATGTTTCTATAATCCGTTTCAGACTTTCCTCATTGGAATAAATATGAACTTGCTGTTTTCGTTCGGTTTCTTTTCCTGTACAAATGTCGATAGGACTCCTTGTGGTTGAAATACTTCAAACCACAGGTAGGTAGATCGGCAGTTGCTCGAAGTTTAAATGGCAAGTCTGTGAAAAATTCTATCCTCCTTCAACGGGCAAAAAGCATTTTCTAGCATTTCTAGTACTTTAGCACTATTAAACCGGCATTAGTCGAGACCAGCTGGCACACACACACACGCACGCACGCACGCACACGCACACACCACACACACAAGTCGCTATATAATCGGTTTCGAAGTTCGAAACATCTACATTGAAAACACACAAGTTCATCTTCATTCTACCATGACACAACGACAAAGCAAACGTGAACTCTTCGGGTACAGTGGAAATGATCAGTGATGTGACAAGGGTTGAGCCTAAATTTTACGAGGCTGAAAGGCGGAATTCAGGGATCAGTGAAGACCAACTCAAGACAAACTAGGGGGAGACATTCTTCTTGTATTGGAGGACTAGAAAGAGAATGTAATGCAACAAGCAGATACAAGCTGGATACAATGACAAGTCTTCTGTGGGCGCTTGCTGTTTCTTCAGACTCAGGCTTCCAAAAGGTCAAACAGGTTATCGTCAAGGCACGTACAGTTTGTGACATGTAAACAAACCATCATGTCGGTCACCCAGAGGGTCCGTAAGGGTCACTATGCGCCGCAATTCGCCGAGCAGATTAACCCTAGGCATGCCGGAATCCGATGATCATGAGTTCGATGCCCAGATACACCATGATTATGATTCTTGGTTTGTCTGCACCATGTGCGTGATCGTGGAGTGAGTGAGTGAGTTGGGTTTAACGCCGCTTTTAACAGTATTCCAGTTATATCACGGCGTGTCAGCTTAATGTGGGAGGAGAGCCCGAAGTGATGTAGGTCTCAGACGTTTACATCTTCGGTGAAACCCACGAGCACGGGTATGGTGCTGACAAACCTAGAAACATAATCGGGGCGAACCGGGATTCGAACCCACAATCATAGGTTTCTGGCGTGCCCAAGGGACGCAACTCTGCACAGTGAATGGCGGCGCCTTTGACGACTGGGCCACCCGTGCCCCCGCGTGCTCGTGTATTTCACTAAAGTGGTAAACATCTAAAATCTGCATCATCTCGGACTTTCCTCCACCATCAAGCTGACACGCCGCGGTACAACGGAAATTATGTTTAAATATTTAAAGCAGAGTTTAACATACTGTTCCAGATTGTATGTATAAGAGTATCTCCATTCCTTTACAAACATTACATACACACACCATGAATCAATGTTCCCAAGACAACCACTCCTCTCACATAACACAACCCTTATAACCCACTCTGGAAATATACCCTTCAAAAAGAGAAGCGCAGGACGGATGTAACAAATGTTATATATGGGATAGCACTTTCTTTGTAAAGTACATATACTTTGTTTTCGTATCCCGGATGGGATTCAACCCCAAAAAGTACGAGAATCTGTACTTTACTAAGAAAGTGTTATCCCAAATATAACATTTCTTACATTTGATCACTTTCTAAATGGCATTGTGAATTCAACGCAATACGGATATTTTTGGCCATAAAAGCAAAATTAGCGGACCAAGAGCTTCAAAATGAAGAGGTTTAATGTGTTATAGTGACAGTGACAAATTTCCCGGAACAAAATGATCACAACAAGGACATGCAAACCATTAGTCGTGAAACACGTACGATTCGAAAAAAACCGCCATGGAGCTACACGCACTGCACGTGCAGCAGCAGTAAGAACGGTATTGAAGTACAGGGTTTTTGATTGCCTGGCACCTGCGTCAATCGAACAGTGACAGTTCAACAACATGCCAAAATTAACAGTAGTGCAAAAGAAACAACGTCTTAGGCCGCTGGCAGGCAGGGGAATCCCGATCAGCTGTAGCAAGGGTTTTCAATGTAGCGCCCAGCGCCATCACAAGGCTATGGGATCGGTTTCAACAGCACGTCAATACGTGATCGGCCAAGGTCGGGACGAGCAAGAGTAACCACCCCCACCCAAGCTCGCTACATCCGACTGCGATACCTACGCGAAAGGATGACCACAGCCACCTCAACCGCATCCCCCACAGCCACCTCAACCGCATCCCAAATACCCGGACTACGCAGAATCTCCGAACAGAGCGTACGAAACCGTTTGAGAGCAGCAGGTCTACGAGCAAGAGGCCCTGTTCGACGCGTCATTTTGATTCGACAACATCGTCAACGACGACTGCATTGGTGTCGTCAACACAGGGTATGACCTCAACTGCGATGGAGAGATATCTGGTTCAGCGACGAAGATTTCTCCTCCGTGGAGGGGATTGAAGCGCACGGGTCAACATACGTCGGGGAGAACGTTACACCGGAAACTGCGTACAGGGAGTGGACAGGTTTGGTGGGGGTAGCGTTATGATGTGGGCGCTTATCTCTCATCATGGCAGGACAGGTTTGGTCCATATCCAGGGCAATCTTCCGGCTCAACGATACATCAACGAAATTCTCTTACCACACGTCCTCCCAATTGCAGCCAACGGCAACGGTGTATTCCAGTAGGACAACGCTGGACCGCATACATCACGTATCGCAAGAGCCCGTCAATACAACAACAACGTTGATGTTCTCCCCTGGCCATCCAGATCCCCGGATTTGAACCCGATAGAGCACCTGTGGGATGATTTGGATAGAGGGCTACGCCGACGTCAACCCAACCCCAGACGTTGCAGCAGTTGGCTTTTGCGTTGCAGGCCGAGTGGGCTACCATTCCCCAGGATGTGATTCGCATACTCGTCTCTTCCATGGGCAGGAGATGTTAGGCCGCTATCGATTCCAACGGGGGACATACGCGTTTTTGATGGTAGCTGACCTTCACGTTGGACTTTTCCTATAGATGTACCGATAACTGAGATGACAACAATCACCAAGTGTTCTCTCTACAACATTTTGGCTCAATACCTTGTACGATTCCACGTATAAATGTATTTTCCTACCTCACACAAGTCTTGCTTTGCGTTTCTTTTTTTAGGTGTGTATTTACATATAAATATATACTGAACCAAATTAAAAACTTCACAATCCTAAAATTTTAACATTTTGACCAGTTATCATTGTAGGCCCTTATTGTGTATTTAAACAGTAATGGCCACGTATTGTCTTCAGATAACACCCGTTTTTCTGCAGGTGAATCGATCAAAATCATGTGCACAGCACTAAAGTGGCAAAAGTGGTTTTTAACGTGCAACTGGTCACGTGGCCATAATACCGCACGTGTTTTCAGCCATACTTGCTAGCAGTCATTAACAAAAAAAAGAAAAACACAAGAAAACAAAAGTCTTTACGGCCATTTGTCATGCCACGCCTTTCAAATGTGCAACGTGAACGTGCCATCGGCATGTGTCTGACGGGAACGTCCGTAGCTGAAGTCGCAAGGACGATGGGTTGTAGTCGACGGACTGTTTATGATTTACAGACGCGTCTACAGCAAACGGGTACCACCGCTGATCGCCCTCGGCCAGGTCGACCACGTGTGACGTCACATGCAGAGGGTCGTCAGATTGTCTTACGTCACCTCCGTAACCGATTTTTGACGGCTACATGAACCAGAAATGAACTGTTTAGGGGTAGACAGAGTGCGCAAACTGGTCGAAACCGTCTGAGAACTGCTCACCTTCAAGCACGACGGCCATACTGCGGGCCGATTCTGACTTAATTACACAGACGTCAACGTCATTTGTTGGCACAGCGACACTTACGATGGACTCAAGTCGTCTTCAGTGATGAATCTCGATTTAATCTTCGATTTGCTGATGGTAGGGCGAGGGTGTGGAGGCGCCGTCATGAACGTTACGCCAAGTGTTGTGTACAGGAAGTTGACATATTTCGAGGCGGAAGTGTCATGGTTATGGGGTCTTTTCTGTGGCAATGCACGTTCCACGTTCTTGTCATCCGTGGCAACCTCAACGCTGCTGCTTACCGCGACCAGGTACTGGCACCAGAACTTCTGCCTTTTATGGCAGCACATGGACCCGGATTGATCTTCAACACGACAATGCCAGACCCCACACAGCAATTTTGACAAGGAATTTCCTTCAGAATGCGGTAGTCAACGTCATGGACTGGCCGTCAAAGTCTCCCGTACTCAATCCCATCGAACACGTCTGGGATGCTCTTGGCAGAAGTCTGCACACTCTCCAGAACCAACCACAGAATTTGCAAGATCTTGGCACCATTTTGCAGCAACAATGGCGTCCTCTTCCCAATCATGTGTTCACAAGCATCACAAGGTCCATGCGGAGGCGTTGTGTGGCAGTTGTCAACGCACATGGTGGCCATACACGCTACTGAACTTGTGTGCCATCAGATTCTCGTGCTTGGGACTTATGATTTAAACTGTTGATGTTATTACCGAATACCGTAGGTGCTTGGAACAAATTATGGTTACCACCGTTAATTAAAATCCTTCTTTGGACATCAATGATTAAAAATTACCTTCTCTGATACATTTGTCCGTTGTATATCATATATGGGATTACTTTTAAAAGTGTGAAGTTTTTAATTTGACTCAGTATTTATCATTTGACAGATATATATATTTTTTTTACCTATTTATTGCTTTATAATTGCTTCGTGCTCGATGTAACAATGTTTCATTGTCAAATGATTGATTATCAATGACAGCTCTTGTTTGACATTTCATAAATTACATTATCTGGGCATGGACATTGCAATGTAAACAACACGTAAAACAAAACACAATACATATTATTTAAATGTAATGACTACTCTCTTCACCACGTTAGTCAACCAAACCCTACACCTTCTGTCAATATGGACTGGACAGGTTGACGCGTATTCAAATCGAGGCTACACTCTTGTATAACTCGCGTATAACTCTCGTGTAACACATATCAAGAGCTCCCGAGTCAAGGTAGGTGTGTAGAAGTCTGCTAGTCAAACTGCACAGGACAATAATAATATGTTGGCGCACACAGGCACTACATAACGATATTGGGTAGGCTGTGAAAAACGAATTACTAGAGGTGAAGGCACAAATCATATACATTGCCTGTACAGGCTGTGGCTTGAGAAATAGGAGACTCCTGTTGCTAACCTAACATACAGGTAACAACAACTTATAAGGTGGGAGCAAGGCCTAAGGGTGTAGAGTACTCAGACAACCTATACTTCGTGCGCGGTCTGGTGCTCCAGTTTAGGCAAATAAGTCTCGCTCTGTAATTCAGGGTATGTGAATGTGCGGGGGTTTGAGCAGGTAGTTGCTGAAATGGCTCCGTATTACTAAGGGGGCCAACGCGAGTCCCACCCGGTATGTCTGCTGGCGATCAAGCACATTCAGCCCGATCTACCCCAATTCACCTGACAACGAGACTGTTCCAAGGACACATAGCCAAGTTTGTGCAACAAGGGAATCGCTGTCTTATAAAATGTCAACCTAAACAATGAAATATATCTCGTGGTGAGGTGAGGTGAAATTGGGTTTAACGTCGCGTCCAAGATTATTGCACTTATATAGCGACGTGCATGCACGTGTATGTGTGTGTGTGGCTGCTTGTACTAGTCCGGACTGATGCCGATTTATAGTGCTAGCTCACTGAGATACCATGCCGCAGTTTAACATGAATACCCCACTCAGACACAGAATACTGACTCCGAGCCGACCAGTCCTTGTTTTAGCCCCTTAATGCCGAGCGCCAGACAGGGTAACAACAAGTACAATCTTTTAACGTCTTTTTGTATGACGCGGCCCGGGATCGAACCCTGGACCTTCCGCTCTCCGGGCGGACGCTCTACCACAAGACCACGGAGGCGGTCTATCTCGTGGTATATCGAGTCCGACGTTATGATTTTAAAACCCATCACGATGTTACGATGTTGTTGTCGCAGCTGATACTACGCCAGGAACTCCTTGGTCTTTCTGATCGAGCATTTAAACTAGTGGCGTTATATGTCCATTATGCAGAATTATCGAGAAATCATATATCAACCAAAACATGGTTTTAAGTCGGAGAAATCACACGAATCTAGTAAACATCTGGAATCAACAACTTCGAGTGATTTCTCCATTACAGGTTCAACTGCGATCGAGGGAATGTAGGTTATGACAAGTTGCACACGAAGTGCAGCCAGCGTGTCCGTCCAACACAAACCGAGGTATACCGTCACTGTGGTTTATTGTTGTAAGGCAGTCACCATCACCACCTTAAGCTTGTGCTGTCTCTACGGAAGACTAAACACGTGTGAGAGAGGGAGAGAGTTAAGCATAGGCTAACGCTAAGTCGCTGAACAAATATAATATGTATTGACACAAGTAGCCCCACTGGATGGGAGTTTCAGAAACTGGAAAATCTAGACTTGCTTCATTTAGGGATACAGCAATACAATAAGGGGTGGGAGGAAGGGAATATTTAGAGGTTACTAAATGACAGTTTTCATATCATACCCTCTTATCAACTCGAGATCGAGGATTTATGGGGTATGATTTGAAAACTGCCATATTGTTTATCGCGTTTATCGATATTACAGGTTACACACAACCAAATGTTTTCCCATAGACTTCTACAGTAACGTTATGATTTTTTTTTAAATAACTAAGCATTCAACAGCTATTACCTGTATGTGTGTGCACAGTTTGGCCTTAGAGCAGCAATAAAAAAAATAAAAATGACCAGCTTAGCCAGCTCCTTTTCCGAGTACCGGAAGCTAAACACACCACCCCCAGTTTCGCGCCAAATGTCACCTACTTGAAAATAGCTGTGGTCACATTCAGCATAAGTCATCATGTTGAAAAAAGACAGTACTAAATATAGAAAAACATGGTCAGTTTTAATAACTGGATTAATATCCTCCAATCACAGCCTGCAGATATCTCTCGATCTGCACTGTCCAAACTGGTTCTGATTTGGTGTAGTAGAACCTGTAGCCTTGTCGCGGCACAGGGCACTCAAAACAGGCTTTGCACATCGTACCCAGAACCCATCTGTCGACACTCGATATGTCATGCCGACCTCTTAATAATCACGAATGGGAAGGGCACAGCGGTGGTTGACCTCATGGGTAATGGCCGACACACATATTTGAAGTGATCCATTCCTATGTATTTCAATTTCAACGACAATGGTATTTTCTGTACGCTGAAGGAACACGTGAAAATTGAATTTTCTGTACGCTGAATGAACACTTGACAATGAAGTTGTCAGTCCGCTGAAGAAACACGTGACAATGGTATTTTCTGTACGCTGTATGAACATGTGACAATTGTATTTTCAGTACGCTGAATGAACACGTGACATGAAGTTGTCAGTCCGCTGAAGGAACACGTGACAATGGTATTTTCTGTACGCTGTATGAACATGTGACAATTGTATTTTCGGTACGCTGAAGGAACCCGTGACAATAGTGTTTTCTGTACCGTGAAGGAACACGTGACATTGGTATTTTCTGTACGCTGAAGGAACACGTGACAATAGTGTTTTTTGTACGCTGAAGGAACACGTGACAGTGATGTTTTCTGTACGCTGAAGGAACACGTGACAGTGATGTTTTCTGTACGCTGAAGGACCACGTGACAATGGTATTTTCTGTACGCCGAAGGAACACATGATAATTGTATTTTCTGTACAATGTGACAATGATGTTTTTCTGTGCGCTGAAGGAACAGGTGACAATAATGTTTTCTGTGCATTGCATGAACCTGTGACACTGATTTTTTTAAGGAGAATATATGTGAGTAACTGACGGTTCGTGAATATCAATCGCTGAGCCCCGCAGATATGTTATCGACACTTCAAACTAATCCCAACGTTTTCAAACCCGAAATACATCCCTACATTTCGACTTTGACAAAACATTCTTTCGTGGAAATATTTAAAAACTAAACCAGCGCTCTTTGTAGTCTGTATGTATACTGTGTACGTCGAGTGTGGGCAATCATAATGCACCTGCAACTCCGCGATCTTTATGATGCATGGTCCATGACTCTGTACTATGTCATGGGGCCAAACGAGTATTTTATCAGTTGCGTTTTAGAACTTGGTGACGGGGTGAGCGTATAATGGAACGTACAGAGAACAATAATATATCTACTTCTCCTGGTTATATTTTTCTCATCAAACGGTTATCTAATGGTTTAATGTGTCAAAATAATTAATAGTTCATTTAACTCCTTTAAGCGTACATTTAATTGAAATACTGATTGAACATAATTAAGTTATGACTTATTGACAAGCAACTTTCCAGTCAAGAATTATAATGACGTCACAGATATATTATCTGTGCACTGAATGAACACGTGAAAATGATGTTTTTTGTGCATTGAATGAACACGTGAGTATGATGTTTACTGTGCACTAAATGAAAACTTGACAATAATGTTGTCCGTGCACTGAATGCACACGTGACAATAAAATAATTTCAGCACAATATGTCAACGATTCTTTCTGTGCGCTGAATGAACACGTGACAATGATGATGTTTTCTGTGCGTTGAATGAACCTGTGACAATGAACGTTTTCTGAGCGCTTAATAAAAGTGTGACGATGTTTCTGTGCGTTGTTTAAAACACGTGCCAATGCTGTTTTCTTTGTGCTTTTAATGAACGTGTGACGATGTTTCTGTGCGGTGAATGACCACGTGATAATGATGGTTTCCGTGCTTGTTCCAGCATGAAGGTGTTACTTGTTGTTACGAACCATGACCAGCTTGGAAACACCGGCAAGAAGACCGGGTGGTATCTACCGGAAGTGGCTCACCCATATCACGTGTTCAAGACGGCTGGACATGACATCGTGTTTGTCAGCCCCAATGGTGGCAAGGCACCCATGGTGAGTCAAGCCGTTTATGTAAAACTGAATTCTACTTTTGGGATAATGTGTGGAGGTTTATGCTATATTGTATATATGCTGTTCAATAGTCCAGCTATGTGACGGTAGCCTGTAAATAAAGGGGTCAGACAAACCAATAATTGACATCAGGAGCATCGATCCACGCAATTGGGATACGATAACATGCAATCAACACGTTGCTGCGCCTGTCCACCCGATACATTAAGTCTCCTCTTACGGCAAGCACACGTTGCTGGAGACCTACAGTAAACTACGGTTATAACGAACACGCTTATAACGAACTAACGGATATAACGAACCAACTTTTTAGTCCCATATGCCGTAGCTATGCTGTATATATGCTTATAACGAATTACGATTATAACGAACTAAAATTAGTAGTCCCTTTGAGTTCGTTATAACCGTAGTTTACTGTATATTCATACCCGGGCGCTCTTCATCACACAGATGAATCCCACTTTTGAATCGAATCATCCATAGCGATAACAGACTTCCCCGGGAACATAATGAGTGACATTGCAGCCATATCACGACGTCCTGCAAATAACATATCTTGGCGAGGCAAACACACGCCGTTGTATTATCTACAAACATTTGTTTTCAGTCTCAGGAGCATCAAGTATTGAAACTGCACATGCATACACCGGCGATATAGGAAAAAATACGCAAATCAATCTATATCCTTGTAATTGTAGGACCCCGGCAGTTACGAATCAAGCAAAGATGACCTTGTTTGCAACAACTTACTGGAAGATAAAAATATCATGTCCCAACTGGATAATACTAAATCTCCTCCCCAGGTGAATGCAAGGTAAGTGTAGAGTCATCCTGGCACATGGTATATGCTAGAGACTAGGTCACTGTATATTCGGATTTATCTAAGGTAAATGTAAGTGTATGACGATTTGAATCAAAGGAGCAGATCTTGCTTTTACATCACCAATAGACGTGTATGTACTGCCAAGTAGTTGTAGATGTAATTTCCTCAAAGCCCGAAAGTCTCGGGCTCGAAGCCTGAATTGTTCATAGACTTGTTTATAAATAGTCGTTTTATTAATTCTCAATTTATTTAAAACCAGTTCTATACCTTTTCTAATGTCAATTTCTGTAGCGTAAAGTAAAATTCCTTCTACTAGAACGATTATTGTAACCTTGAAATCGTCCGTATTAATCATTTTCCTGGATTAATGAATCACAAGAACGACCAACGTTCCTCAACCATAACATAAATCCTTTCCAACAGTAATCCTCCAGAAAGCAGGCGTTATAACGAGCTTCTGATTAACGGGATTCTTATATCGGTGTTTACAGCGATTTCAAGGTTATATTTTACGCTGGTGGTCACGGCCCGATGTTTGACCTCCCTGAATGTGCAGCTCTGGGGAAGCTAGGGGCGCAGATCTACCAGAGCGGAGGCATAGTGAGTGCTGTGTGCCACGGAACCGTCGGTGAGTTCACGATGTACTTGTATGTTACCGTACACGTCTGGGTGATTGGTAGCTGTGTGCTTGATACGACATCGAGATTAACTTGAAGACAGGAGGCTCAGCATCTTCTCGAGGCAAGGGAGTTACCTGACTATAAAAGTCCAATTTCCACCCTTGCCGAACTAAGCTGGAATAACGGAGTTACATTTTGGCTCGACTAACGAGTCTATACATAGTACAATCAAAAACGAAATCGATATTCGGTTCATAAACAAAATGGCGACTGCCGTGTCGATTGCAGGATTTGAAGAGCATGTGTACCGTCAAATGGGCGTCAACAGATGTTCTCCAAAGCTGTTCATATCTGTAATAAAGGTTCTCAAGTGATTTGATGTACTTCGCAAGGTAACACCCATTTTATTACAAAAAAAAATCTTGCTAATCGATCTGATTATCTTGACTTGGCGCCGCCATTTTGTTTGAATCAAATGCAAGTGACATGAGAGTGATCTGATTGGTCAATGGGGAGGACATAGAAGGGACATAACCCGTAATCGCCACTGGCGGCGCTACGATCGAACCACGAAATTGCAGCCTAGTTCGGCAAGGGTGGAAACTGGACTTTTATAGTCAGTTAACTCCCTTGCCTCGGGAAAAGAGGAGACCCAGTGGATCAAGGTGTAGCCCAGAGAAATGATACACGTCTTAGCCGTGCCAGGATCCGTTAGTCGTGTGTTCGAATCCCAGATAATACACCTGTCAGTACTATAATGGTGCTCGTGGTTTTCACAACGACCTTTTTTATAATTAATACATTTTGTGAAAAAATATGTACTTTAAAGTAGATAAAAGACAGACTACTCCCCAAAACATGTTTCTTTTCTTTTTGTTTTGAATGTATTGACAACCGTCAAGAGAATAAAGGACTCATTTAACAGAATAACAATAAACATATTTGAAAAACCTATGGTTATGGAGTAATGATCCGTAAAACTACTAGTTAAAGTCGCATGTGTCTTAAGTCAGGTTACACTGAATAGTACATTCCTCTACCCATTTTCAGTATAGTTCTAGGTGCATTGTGCCTGATCAGTTAGTGTGTTCATCACAATCGGAACCCTCTGACGGTGATGTTGCCGCACTCTCTCTAACCCTCTAACGCTAGAGTTGCTACTCTCCCTCTAACCCTCTAACGCTAGAGTTACCACTCTCCCTCTAACCCTCTAACGCTAGAGTTGACACTCGCTCTCTAACCCTCTAACGCTAGAGTTGCCCCTCTCCCTCTAACCCTCTAACGCTAGAGTTGCCACTCTCCCTCTAACCCTCTAACGCTAGAGTTGCCACTCTCCCTCCAACCCTCTAACGCTAGAGTTGCCGCACTCTCTCTAACCCTCTAACGCTAGAGTTGCCACTCTCCCTCTAACCCTCTAACGCTAGAGTTGCCACTCTCCCTCCAACCCTCTAACGCTAGAGTTGCCACTCTCCCTCCAACCCTCTAACGCTAGAGTTGCCACTCTCTCTCTAACCCTCTAACGCTAGAGTTGCCACTCTCCCTCTAACCCTCTAACGCTAGAGTTGCCACTCTCCCTCCAACCCTCTAACGCTAGAGTTGACACTCTCTCTCTCTCTTTAAACCCCTCACGTTAAAGTTGCCGCTCTCTCTCCAGGGCTAATTCCAATACAGCTGGACAACGGGGACTGCATCCTGAAGGGCCAGACAGTGACAAGCTTCACCAATGCTGAGGAGGCCGCGGTCAACCTGACAGAGGCTATGCCGTTTCCATTGGAGACCAGGTTGAAAGAAAGTGGGGCTAAGTTTGTTGGAGGGGCCAATTTCGCTTCAAACGTTCAGGTACGCAACATGGTGATATTGAAGAAAATAAACAAGCAAAGAGCTAAAAGCAGCAATATCTCTGCACTTGTACACATCAGTCGTAATTCATAATTGACATATCGTGTTCCTTAGTTTCTTCAAAATCAGTCAATGCACTATCGCGTCACTGGATTATCTGGTTCATAGATCACTTGATTGTTTGCTTTGTTTTCAGGCCGCCGTCGCATGGCAGGATTATTGCTATGTGGCGTCAGGCTATAAATACTTCCTGTCTTATGCAAATTGTACCAATGTTACCGGTGGGGCAGAACATGCTTACCCTTTTCGCGAACACCTGGTTTCATCACTGATTTTCAATGATTTTCAGACCATTCATATAATTTTCACAGCTATTATTTATGTGACAAAGAAATCAGAGTTGCGGTGAACAAGCTATACGTTAATTTCAACAGTACACTTTATTCGGCATTCTCGACATATGTTCCTTATGTTTGCCTACCAGTATATTTACATTCGTATCAACTCCATAATATAGATACATATATGCTCTTCAGGTAATAATCTGTTGCTGACCAGTGGTACTGTAACATGTATGTTGCTCCAGAAGATCCGTGTTTGTTATTTAACGCCGCACTCATCAATAGTCCAGCTACGACTACTTGTAAATAGTCGAGTCTAAATCAGACCAACAAGACCAGACACTCCACTGATTGATATTAGCACAAACAAACAGTCTACGACATCAGGGTACGGTGACAGGCTATGAACCAACTCACCGGGCCTGACCACCCGATCAATGTGGTCGCCCCGTAATCCTATTGGGGTTGTATGTACATTCGCAATGCATGTGAATCCTAATGACGATCCGATGTTTACACTTTTCAGGTGAGCGGAAGAATAGTGACAGGTCAGAACCCAGCCTCGGCCTCGCCCACTGCTGAAGCCGTCATCAAATTACTTAGCTAACACGGGCGGGACGCCGCCCCGGAGGGAGATGTACCAAACGTCAGCTATGACAACCCCCATCATATGCTAATCCGCGATGAAGTTATTAGTAATTAATGTCATTCCTCACGCTCAAAGCGGCTTTCGGCTATAAGGAGTTCTTGACACAAAGAAATCTTTGGAATCACTTTTTCATTTTGACTTTTTTTCTTTGACCAACAAATATAGATGTCCGGACTAGCGACTCGTTGGTGCACTGTACCGGTCTTGAGTTAAGTACTTATAATGATGACTGGGCTGGTATTTTCAAGCAGACAATGAGATGGACAGATTGTGTCAATGTAAAGTCACCAGCACGATCGCTATAATTGAATCTTATTGTTTTCTGCATACAAAGGCTTCTGTTGAACCACAGTTGTAGCCTCTGTACTTTGTTTTGTTTTGTTTACCGCCGCGCTATTCCTGCTATTTGACAGCGGTTTGTAAAATAAAATAATCGAGTCTGGATCAGACAATCCTGTGATTGCCATCACTTGCATCGATCTCCGCAGTTGGTGTATGATGACATGCATCAATCAAGTCAGTGGGTTTGACCACCCGATCCCGTCTTGCGACCGATTCTAGCCCGGGTCTTCACATGGGTGATATTATGAGGTGAGATGAAATTGGGTTTATCACCTCGATCAAGATTGTAGCACTTATATGGAAACGTGCATGCACGTGTATTTTATGGTTCAGCCCACTGAGTGCCATACCTCTCATGCCCACTGAGACTCCGAGCCGACCAGTCCTTGTTTTGTCCCCTTACTCTCGAGTGCCAGGCAAGGAAACAACAAGTATCCTCTTATAACGTCTTTTGGCATGACGCGGCCGGGGATCGAACCTTCGATCTTCCGCTCTCCGGGCAGACGCTCTATCCGGTAGATCACGGTGGCGGTCGTTGATATCATGAGCAACGATCCTAACTGTAGGGGTGCGTCGACACGCCATCATCCGTTCAATCTCATTAAAAACAGATCTTAGTTCTTGCTACCGCTAAGCAAAGATCTGAGGACATCCCATTACGGGTCACGTCAGACCGACCTTGCGCGAACTTTGACCGACCAATGGAATGACCAATCAGAAGGCAGCTTTCTCGTGCTTTTCGGCACAAATTTCATATTGGCGACTACGCCTCGAAACAAATTCTCGATTACAAATTTGAAACCTAAACAAAAGAACATTCTGGAATGGCTAATAGATGGTCTAGATTTTAAGGATTCAGTCGTTAAACCCGTAATTATCGTTCGGAATTCCCCATGTTAAGTTTTCGAGATTGCATGATTAGAAATCACATGCCGACTGTCACTTTCATAATCTGGTAAGCGAAGGCACTGATTGGTCGGATGAAAGGTCGTTCTGACGTGACCCCTAATGGGATGTCTTCAGATCTTTGTTTAGCGGTAGCGAGGACTAAGGTCTGATTTTAATGAGATTGTCATCCGTTCCACCAAGCCTTACCGACCGATATTCCATGTCTAAATCACAAAACAACGAATGCGCAAAGTTTACACTCATGCAAGTGTTACATGGTTTGCTTCCCTTCCACACCTCAAAATAAATAATGATTCATCACGAAGATATATTTGAACAGATAAAGTTTGTTTCAGTGGTATCCATTTTAAACAGATAAAGGCATTTGCTTTATTCAATTAACAACAATATTATTATGAGATTATCTCCAAAACGAAAGATACGTTAATATCTGAGCAATGTCACTCCCTTGGACAACAAAAACTGTGCGAGGAACTGAACAAGGGAATCAACACAGTTAAGACAAGAGCTCTCTTTGTGGCCCAATTCACTGTTGTGACGAAACATCCAACCCCTGCCTTGGACAAATCCACTGTCATGTTCCTGGCATTAGCTACCCGTGAAGATCCGGGGTAGAATAGGTCTTCAGCAACCCATGCTTGCCGTAATAGGCGACTATGCTTGTCGTTAAAGGCGACTAGCGGGATAGGGTGGTCAGACTCGCTGACTTGGTTGATGCATGTCATCGATCCCAATTGCGTGGATCGATGCTCATGATATCAATCACTGGATTGTCTGGCCCAGACTTGATTATTTACACACCGCCGTCATATAGCTGGAATATTGCTGAGTGCGGCGTTAAAGAACAAACAAACAAACAAACAATATCCTGGCATTAGCAGAGATTTCGTAGGATAAAGGAAATGGTTTTGAGCTTTTATATTAATTACCCGTTACAGCAACATTTGGCTACGTCGGCTTCTGTGATGAGGTGGCCTTCTTAACGTCAGAGAATAATGAGTCCCGATTATCTGCCGAAATAAACTCCATCCCAAAGCAGTGATTTGAATGTAACGTAAATAAATATATGCATGAGGTATTGTTATTTATTTATGAAGTAGTTTTAGACATTGTTTATGGTACAATGCGTATACAAATAGAACCTTCGTGGAATTAGGTAAAAACAACAACCATGTATTGCCGACTGAACATGTTGCGGTTTATACGTTAAATGACAAACTTTTGATTTTTGTAATTACTCTTTTGAATGCATGCTGGGTTGTACAAAATCTCATGAAAGAAAACCAACGTGCCCCTCGTGCTTCAATTATAGTGTGCAAGAGTTAAGATTTAACGTCACATCGGCAATAGTTCAGCCATGTCGTGACGAGATAAAAGTAAAACACGGACAACAAATATATTTAGACGGATTAAAACCCGTCGCCGAAGGACAGTACAAATAACTAGATTATCACCTACTGTATTTAAAACTTGTTTGAGTGCATGCCAAAGAATAAACTAAGATTCAACAACAATATAAAAACGGGCTAGAGATCGCCATCAACCACAGTTAGGCCACCATACTAGGGACCTTGAGTACTTAGGACACTTCTACTACCTGCACGGTTCCCCAACAGGATTTACACCACCTCTTGAGCCGATGGCGATTGAAGTCTTTTTTAGCCACCAATTAAAACTATCAAATATACTACGATTAAAAATGTGATAGGTCTAAATTTACTTTGAAAGATGTGGAACTTATGTATCATCTCAGGGGAACAATAATTGTACACTTCTTTAACTGACATCAGTACTCGGGATTTTACGAGGGGACTTTTGTTGATTCAGGGATCGTCTATATTATGTACGAGCAGCTGTCAGATAGGTGGAACATTGCTAAGTGCGACGGTTAACAACAAACAAGCTTCAACATTCAAAGCTCGTTCAAGTGTAAGGTGTTCAGAGACAGAATTACAATCTTATCACAACCAAATATATATTTATAGCAATAAAATCCGTTTTAAATATATTATAACTGCTCTAATATTGATATTCATAATCCATCTACACAAATCCAACCGTTAAAAGATCGCCTCCGTGGTCTTGTGGTAGAGCGTCCGCCCGGAGATCGGAAGGTCCGGGGTTCGATTCCCGGCCGCGTCATACCAGACGTTAAAATATGGTACTTGTTGTTACCCTGTCTGGCGCTCGGCATTAAGGGGCTAAAACAAGGACTGGTCGGCTCGGAGTCAGTATACTGTGTCTGAGTGGGGTATTCATGTTAAACTGCGGCATGGTATCTCAGTGAGCTAGAACTATAAATCGGCATCAGACTAGTACAAGCAGCCACACAAACACGTGCATGCACGTCGCTATATAAGTGCAGTAATCTTGGACGCGACGTTAAACCCAATTTCACCTCACCTCACCTCACCAACCGTTAAAGTCTAATAACACGAAGATAAACATCATTGTTAAAGCACTAGTCATTGAAGTTGGTTGCCTCTTTATATGTCAGTGTCAGCTTGTGTACATTAAATTTATACCCCAGAGCAATGTCTGACGAAGTCATACCTATAGATACATGTAGTTAATAGAGCTATCATTTGGTACACATGCTAAACTCAGCTAGGCTGACATAGGCTTTAATAATGTTCTGCCCCAACAACTAATATGTATGATTGAACTTTATAATATATGCCTAGATAAAGTGATAATCATGGTGTACAGTAAATGCCAAATGTAATACTGTAATGGTATGTTTGTTTAAGTATATATTCTCGTAATTGTATACTTGTATTTTAACCTTACTATATTATGTTTTGAGGTATATCATCATTTCTCCATATTTCTTGTGTTAGAATCTTCATATCCTCGATTGAGCTACAGACAGAATAAATCCCACGAAACCTCCACAAGTATTCGTCGTTCTTCCAACCTTGACGTTATCATACATAGGCTACATACTTCAGACATGATCCATGACTACCATGAAAAATGTGAATGACCACAGCAAATTCAGCCATCTCTGTATAGTTACATGTCCGCTTTACAAATTCTACTATTTCAATACAACTTGTATTTTATTAATCTGTATGAAAGTTTCTTTTGTTTTTAATGTCTTTAGTGGAGCATTGGCAACCTTGGTTTGTTAAATCACATTTGTAAAAAAACCGTCAGTGGCCAAAATATCCGCAACACAATATCACAATGTGAGTTTGGTACGTGAAAATACAGCTCAAACGTATAGAAGACAAACAATGTAGGCTTAACCCAGACTTTCCTGATATGCTACGGTTTGGTTTTAGAAAAGAACATGGAGCTATTATGTCAGTATTTACTTTGATCGAAGGCATTCAGTATTACATACAAAGGGACTCTGCAGTCCATGCAGCTTTCTTAGATAATGAAACAGCATTCGATAGGATATGGCACGATGGATTATTTTACAAACTACATAAACTGGGCATTAGAGGTAATGCATGGAAATTACTACATAATTGTTATACAAATAGTTATGCTTATATTTCCTACCATGGTGAACAATCAGACAGATATATGGTTCAACAAGGTGTTGGCCAAGGCAGAGTAATCTCTGCTTGGCTTTTTCTTGTTTTTATTAATTATCTCATTACAGCCCTTAGACAAGCACAATGTGGCATTCGTGCACATGGTATGGATAGTCTTGCTTACCGACGATGCTACACTTGTTGGCGCACCACCGAGAGGCTTACAAACATCCCTTGATATTGTACATACATATGCCTCAAGGTGGCGCCTAACATATAATCCATCAAAAAGTGCAATAATTGTGTTCATCAAAGCATAAGCAAGGGGTATAACTTTCATTGTAAACTTGGTAATACACACATTACTACAACTGATTCTACGGTATATGGTGGAATACTTTTAACGTATTGTCGTAACTGCTTTCGGGCGTCCAGTACGACCCTAATACAGT